GGAACCAGTGCTGAAATGATTGGTAGATCAACAGAAATGTAACAAGTTACTGATATGATTTTATTATTGTGACCATATTAGCATTTAGCTCAATCAGTTGCCATGCCCACGGTGCATTGATCCAGGCCTTAAGCCTGTCTGCCTGAACCTTTACTCCCTGCAGAATATCCCTGAATACACACCACGCAGACTATAGCTTAGTGGAGTTGAAGGGGAGAGCGGTGTACAATAGACAATAAAAACATGTTCTTTTGACATGTGTTGATCAAATAGCATGCCTGTCTTTCAGTAACTGGTAAGGTTGAGGACTCAAGAACCAGGTTGCACTGTTTATACAATCATATAAGTGAATAAAGACATACAACAGCCTGTAAATACAGACCAATAACTGAGACATCTGGGTGCTTACAGGCTGTTAGTCAACAAACGCTGATGGTGGCTTATTTTATTTGGCTATAATGTGCATAAATAAAGGCACCAAATACATATCCCTCATTGTATCTGCTCCCATGTTCACTGTTGTGTTTCTGCTTTCTTTGCTGTGATAAGTACAAGTACCAGAAAACGAGAACTCATTATCTCGATCCTTTCATCTCTGCACTGGCTGCCTGTTAGTTAGTTTTAAAGTAGATTTTAATTATCTCTTTTAAGGCACGAAGTCCTGGAGCTTTTAATCCCCCATGTGCCTCCACGGGCCCTGAGGTCCTCAAATGCAGCTCTCCTGGTGGTTTTCAAAACAAGATTTAAAAAGGTGACAGAGCTTTTTGCCATTAGAGCCCCTAAACTGTGGAACATCCTTCCAAAGGTTTTATTTTTATTGTTGTTATTGATTTATTGCTGTGTTTTACAGTGTTTTATTCTGTATATTGTTCATGCTGCTATGGTTCTTAGTGATTTATTGTTTGTGTTGTTTTTACCCTGTAAAAGCACTTTGTAAACCCGTTTTTTTAAAGGTGCTATATAAATTAAAGTTTATTATAAGTATATACTGTATATCTGACAAGGAATGCTTTATCTAGCAATTGCCACCCTTTAAGATAATGGAGGTGGGGTTGTATTGCTGACCGTGCTAAGGTATCTTACCTCTATCTTACCGCCTCCCCAGCCCGGCTCCAGACAGACAGGCCCTTCGGACCCTTTCACTATTACACCTCAACAGGCTGAATCTGATGATGTGACACTGAGCTGTAGTTCCTGTTCTGAGACTGCACACGGTGAGGCTAAGAGGAAAGAGCCAAATGTCTGGGATGCGGTCGAGGATTGAGCTGTTAGATTTCAGCTTCCAGGTTTTTGTAGCAGTGCAGCTCAAAGCATTTTCGCTTCCAAATTCTGAAAATACCTTTTTAATTGTTCGACTGTTAGTTGAACAAAACAAAACAGTTAAGACATCAGTTTGGGGTCTGGGAAACCGTCAGAGGTATTGTACACTAGGCTAAACTCCCTTGTGGCTGGATTTTGGCCTCAGGCTGAGAGTCTTCACATCACACCTCCTGTCTCAGCTCAGCTCTGACGGCCAGCCATATACACTATCACATCGAGGTTGATGGACAGTGAAGGAGGTGATGAGTGTTCTTGCATGTGTAAAAGAGAGCAAGGGCATGAAAGAAATCCCCTACATTCATTTCTTCTGTCTAACTCCTACACACACTCTTGCTCTCACACACACACAGGCAGAGCACCTGGTCACGTACACGCAGGGTTTTTCTTTCAACATGCCGTCCGAAGCCTCGAAGGATCTGAAGACAGTTTGATTGTACGAGGGCTGTGATAAATAACCTGCGGTCTCTCTCTGCGTCCGTTGTGATGGATGCTCTGCAATACCAGCGCAAATGTAAGTTATCATTAAGCTGGAGGAATTTCTTCAGAAGTGTGGTTTTAAATGTAAAAGATGAGTGCTATTTTTCAAACTCAAATGACACCGAGAGATGGAGGCGAGTGAGCTTTTCGTGCAGTTTTGCCGTTCAGTGTTTCCCATTGAAATCCACTAAGACCTTGCTGTGATCTCTAATTTTCTCCAGCTGTAAGATAAAAGTCAAATAAAGTTGTGTTCAAGCACTCCTTGGATTCCTCTCCTCCCTTCCATGTCTTCCATCCCTCCCATTTGTCTTCCTCCTCCTCCCACCTCCTCCCTCCTATCTCCTCCTCCCACGGTTTGGAACAGGCAGAGAAGAGTATGCAAGGACACACTGAGCCGCATGCTGTTCTTGTTTGCCTTTCCCAGATTGCCCTGCTGCTAGCCCTGGTGCTAGTGGGAGTTGCCAGTTCCCCTCATCATGTTATCTCCACAGTCAGATCCTACAGTTATCTCCGAACCATCCTACACTGTCATGGCAGTTATTTTACATTTTCCACACAGTAACTGCTCTTTTTTGTTTTGCTCTAAGGTATAAATAGAAACTCTTTATAATGCTGCCATGGAAAAATCTGATCCATATTTTAAAGGTGCACTGGGAAACTTTGCATGATGGCAGCTTTAAATTGATATATTTCTCATTCTGTGGGGAGGGAAGTGTGCATAGATGAGTATATTAATAAGAATATTGCTTCAATATTATTCAACAACACAATACAGTAAAAAAAAAAAAATTTTTTTTTCAGGCAAAATGTGAAACAAAAACTTCAATAAAATGTACAATTAACAAATGTGCTTTGTCTCAACCAGGACAGATGGGATACTTTCCTCTCCTGCTGCTTCATATTACGATCTAGGCCGATGGGTGTATTTTAAGTTAAACTCTTGCCTAGAACAGCCGTAATGCTTTGCATGAGGATACTGGTCCACAACATACATGGTAAACACGGCATGAGCGGGCTGGCACATGAACAGAAACGTTGATTACTGTGCTCTGTTATCAAAGAGAATAAAATGTAATGAAACTGTTGCATAGCCAAGTGGAAGTAAGAGTGGAACCTATTCAAGTAGATATTTATGAATCAAATCACTGAAAGGTATGAGGACACACTCACTAAAGATGCATGGAGATAGAATTGTGACACCCAATCTGCTTTGTGAACTCCCTGCATGCCTTTGAGGTCATTCTGTGATTTTGTACTACATAAATAAATTTGACTGCACCTTTAAAATCACTATAGGATAACCAGAAGGAGGTGTAGTTTCCACCAAACAAACACAACCTGATTAGGAAGCCATCAGACACTTATGCAAGGCAGCACAGCTCGGCTCTCAGCTGGTGTTACAACGACGCCCTCCTCTGCTCTTCGTAGGTACTCGGGTGCATGAACAGCTGGGACAATGCTGCCCCCTTGTGCCGCTTCTTCTCTGATATGGTTCCATCAACACCACCATCACTTTTGGGTGTTTTTTTTTTTTTTTGTAAAGAGCTAGGATAGATAATGGAGAGGGATGGGGAAAAAAATGGCACACTCGAAAGCTTCATGAATATTTTAAAACTTTAATATACAGTGCTTCATAAATCATTACTAAAAACACAGGTGGTAAAAATCAAATCGAAACAAATAAGTTACACTGTAGTAAAAAGCACTTGAGATTCCTTTCCGTTTTTCATCATTAGTGTGAACCCCATATGAAAATAGCATAGAAAGTATGCAAACATAGAATTTCATTCATATATATTTTCTAATCTTTAGCTAAATAAACCTTTTGTCCCCTTTAAAATTCCCTTAACCAACTGGATGAAATGAGAAAAAGTTTTACAGCTGTGTGTGTGTCGTGGCCTCGATTTCATCTCGAATTTCTTTCTTCTTAAAACAGCTTGAAAACCTTTTTGTGGACAACAACTTTCCCCCACGTGAGAACCTCAGGACAAGCCCCAAATAAAAAGGAAATATAAATTAACATACCAAACATGTGAACAGTCTGCAAAAACTTTTTTTTTTTTTTCCATTGACAGTTTTCCATTTGACCTCAAAGCATTCTCACACACACTTTTAACAGTTTGTCCACACACACACACACACACTCACGCACACATAAACAGTCTGTGCATAGACCCAGGATTAACTTGTGGAGTAACTGGTAATTGGAGCTGCTTTCACCCCCCTCCCGGCTCCCCCCCCACTGTGGTTTGTCCTTTAAAGGAAAATAACCCTTTAACCCATTTGTTGCTATGGCAACAGAAGCTGGCTCCGGCCGAAGGGCTTAACATAGAGATATGTCGAGATAGACGGATCAAAACATGTCGTTTCCATAGTCCAATTCAGTGCCTGCTATCAGCAACAAGGTAAACAGAAAGAAGTCAACAATAGATACACGTCGGGGTTAGACAGATGAAAATATAGAGCCTTGAAAAAACAGCCAGCCAGTCTTAACCGCCACTACAGAGTCAAATCCTTATTTTTATTATTATTATAATAATTTGTACGTATTTCCCCATGCATTATTAGCAGGCTGTGTCACAATGTGCGTCTTTAACTGTTGACCCACATAGACAAATAATCAATGGAGTGTGTCGGTGTCACAACGATCTGAACAATTTGAGATATTTTTCCAATGCGGGTAAACGAGAGAATTACTTCTCCTAATTTTTCAGGCATAACAGGTCAGAATTTAGAAAATCACAAAAATATCAGCAAACAGGGACTTTTAGTGTGAAAATATCGAAGAAGAAGAAGAAGAAGAAGAAAAAAAAAAAAAAAAAAAAAAAAAAAAAAAAAAAAAAAAAAAAAAAAAAAAAAAAAAAAAAAAAAAGAAAAAAGAAGAAGAAGTCCCTGTAAACATCTGCAAAAGTTAAGTTAGGTATGGTGTGCAGAAGAATGCTTCTGACTCTTGTTCTGGTCTGTTTGCTGTTGTCTGTCAAAAGTGAACTCTAGCTGAAATGTGCAAGTAGAGAGCATAGGTTATATTCATGTCAGTATCTGGCCAATATCTCCTGTTAAAACCAGCAAAATATGGCTTAAGTTTGGTTTACAGTAGAGAACGCTTACGCTTCTCTTACCGCCTGTTTGTATCAGCAAATTATTCACCAATATCAAGGAGAACGTGGACGCTGTAGAAGTGAACTCTGGCTAAAATTTCAGGCTAGTAAGTGTGTCATGAATGTTGGTATCGGCTTCCAAAATGTGTCTTGATCTCATTTGTGCTGTTTGTTGTCTTTCCCCACTTTGTTGTGTATCTACAGAGACCTGCGGTTTCAACAGTCCGAGTCAGTGCCTCCTATCAGTTACAGGGTTTGACAGAGAGGCATCCAGAGCAGCCAGTCATAAGCATGACAGAGAGGGGGGGGGGAGGGGGCTTGGACGCTCTGGTAACAGGGGGTGGGGTCAACTTGTTCTATTGCACATATGTTTCTGCCTTTTCTTCATTTCTGGCTTCCAAAAAAATCTCACAGTTATAAACAGGCAGCAAGTAGCATTATTTTTGTTTTTTGTTTAAATAAAAAAAAAAAAAAAGGAGGAGAAGAAGCTATGGACAAGAACGGAAAAGCGCTCAATTAAATTGCAGCCCAAAACAGGATATTATAATAATAATAATAATAATAATAATAATAATAATAATAATAATAATAATAATAATCAACAAGAATATTCACAAAAACAACAGCAATAACCATATATAGCTACACAGGCAGAAAAAGTAACGTTTACCTGTATATATATATTTATAAAAAAAAACAAAAAAAAAAACAACAGTGTAAAATTGATTGTCATTTCAAGATAAAAAGCATCAAAAACATCCAAGGCATCAACAGTGAGGAACAAACTGGGAACTATAAAAAGTGACGAGGGCTGAAGAGGGATTCACAGAACTAAAGCCCAAATGAACAACGCTCACAGAGAAAGAGAGAGGGAACCCATTTGGTGCACAACATGCGTCTGAGAAAGCTTTTGGCAGCCTTGAGTGCAGAAGAGCGGCGAAACAAAGGCAACAGTTTGCACATGCCATCCATCCATCCATCCATCCATCTGTCCGTCTTAGAGCAGAGAAACTAACAGCACGACCCTCCGTTCGTTCGCCTCGCCGCGCTCCCCCAGCTGTCAGATTTCAGTGTCCATATCGCCAAAACTTCATCCAGTCGGGATGCGGCAAGCGCGTGCTGTGGCTCATCGAGAGAGGGAAAGAAAAAAAGGGAGTCCAACAAGTTCCCGCGTCTGACAAAAGGAGGCGGCGAGAGACTCGAAGTGCTGAGGAAGGCCGTGGCCTGGCGTGGTAAAAGCAGGACAGCGCCGAGAGTGGCGGCATGGCTTTGATTTGGCCGAGCCCTGTGACCAAGAGAGGTAACTCTTGAAAAAAAGCTTTTCAAGCAGAGTAAAGGGGCGTTGGTGAGTTTTGGAAAAGCACACACATTCTCTCACACACACACACACACACACACACAGACACACACACACACACACACACACTCAGTCCACGCATTCACAAACACACACACACACACACAGTCCACGCATTCACAAACACATACATGGGAGTAAATCTGTCCCTGAATGTGCCAAGCAACGGAAGTCTTCTTGTTCCACAAAATATACACAAAGTTCACAGGAGGGATTCTTTTTTTTTTTTCTTCTCTCCAAACTTTCCTTCTTCCATTCCAGAGAGATAGCCACGCTGCACGGAGCAGTCAGTCTGTGCGGCCTTTCTCTTACTTCCAGTCCTCGTCGTCCTCGTCCTCCCCGTCTGACGAGTCGTCGTTGGTGCTGTCCCCGCCTATCTGTCGCGTCCCGTTCTGCTGCCGTGCGGCGAGGAGGGCGGCGGCCTCCGCGGCTGCTCGTTCCTCCGCCTCCTTCTGGCGTAGTGCCGCGGCCTTCTTCTCCTGCTCGGCGTGGCTCTTCATGTGGGCGCTGCGGCTCTTCACCTTGTAGAAGATCCTACAGGAAAAGAAAGGAAGAGTTTTTCATACATGAATGCGTAACATTGCTTGTGTCTGTTATATAAATGTTCTGCATCAATGATTTGAAAATGTATCCTAAGCCGTTAATTACTAATTAACTAATGATCACTGCTGCCTACTCTATAATGTCCGACAACAAAATTAAAAGGAGGGAGACAGCTGGTCTGATTATTATTGGGGTGGTACGAGAGTTTTTGTTGCCTCATGACTTTTGCCCCACACCACAAGGGGGGTAAGAAGATAAAACTGGCCTGTCCACAGTCAGTTTATTTTAACATGATGTCTAAAATTGGCGTCACATCTCTGTAAAAATAGCAGCGTAGGAAAAAAGCAAAAGCACTTAGGGAGCAAAATCGTAATCATTCTTGTTAGTTCAGGGAGTTTGGTGACCTTCAGCAAATTCCCAGAATACCAACGCACAGCAGCCAGACTGTAAAATGGGAACAGTGAATGCAAAACAGGCTTGAATTTAGCATTCCAGAAGATGGATAGAAAGCACAAAAACAAATGACTGGAAGATACCAACTGAGAGTCCCCTCATCATGTCTATTTAAGATAAAATGCAATAATGCTGAGTGCTTAATTGGGTGTTAAGAGAGGCAAAATGTGCTCATTGTTACACATTTACTGTGTCGAAAGTCAGTCAATAGTAATTACTCTCTTTGTCTCTCCTCATAAAGACCGTGGGCAAAGTTCAGTATGATGCATGGAAATAAGGGCTGGGTAATGACGGGCCGTATCAGAACAATGAATATCACAGCATGTGACACAGCAGTGGGTCTGTAGCTGTGCGGCAATGTACACTGAAACCATCCCCAAATTATGCAATTTTCCAAATCTTTTCAATGACTGTAAATGGCAAATAAGCCTGGTTGAGTTTCCTGTATCAGCCCCTGTAGCGGTGGCTAATCTATAATGAGCACCCTTTGAGCAGGGTAAGTATTTTAAAGGGTGAGTGAAACTCTTGCCAAGTCACTGGGTAGAGCTGCATCGACGAGAGGCGTGATGTGCCGTATCTACTCTGTGTTTCAGTTGCTAGGACACAGTTGGCAATAACAGGCCCGGTGTTGCCAGAGGACGGGCTGTTATTTAACCAAAGCATGACAGGATGGGCTGGTTCTTTCGAGCACCGAGAGACACTTGCCTCTATTTACCAATACATATTCCAAATGGGCAGTGGCAGTGGCAATATTTCCTGCAGAAATTCTGTGTTTCACATCTAGCTAGCTCAGTCAAAGGCCACTTATGTGACTTCAAGTGGCTGCTGCTGCTACTGCTGTCAGCTTTGCATAAGTAAACAGAGCCATGCCAACGTCTCCAACACAACAGCAGTGACTGACGTGATGTTTCTGATCACTGACCTGCCACATTTCTTGCAGGGGAACTCTCCCTCTTGACCAGCTGTGCCTTTGTTTCCTGTTGAAGGGCTGGTCTTGCGTGCGTTGCTGTCGTAGCGTGACTTGGCGCTGGGAGGGGGTGGATGAGGTGGTTGGATGACCCGGGACAGCGGCTGGTCCCGCCCCGCGTCTTCCTGGCCTTTCATGATCAGGACGGTCCCAGGCTGCACACACACACAATAAAAATGAGAAGTAGAGTTAACACAAAAAGCTCCCAAGATGTTTCACACAAGTCACTGAGAGCATTTGGGAGATAATGAGCCTGGAGCTACTTTATGAGCAACTTTTATGGAGGGTAGGATTACAATGGCATGCAAACGTGCCAGTTGACATACATATGGACACAGTTTAAGAAGACAAAAATAAGTAACAGCCTGGCAGTTTTATCAACAACCTGTTATGTGTGCTAAACGGCAAAGTGCAATGGGAGTAACAGGGATAAAGTTTTCTTGTCGAGTCATTGTTTGCTAACAGACACAAAGGGGTTACACAATCCAGAGGGGTGGACATCAGCCACGTTTTCTCTTCTAAAACATCCAGCAGGGGGCAGCAGATCCAACACCCATCCACCAGGACAATTCGGGTAGAGTTCAAAAGGACAAGCATGTCAAGTCTGGTGAGGCCAACTGAGGTTTCTAAGGAGCAACAGAGTGGAAGTTTGCTCCAAAATAATGTCTGTTTGCTTCCTCCCTTTGTTTACCCTGAAGCAACACATGTGAGTATATGTAGATGTAAATGTTTTGCAATAATAAAGAATATTAGAAAAATCAGATAACTCCTTTGATCAAAGCAGTTTGATGGCATCCTTCTGGAGTACTGACCTATTTATGTTCGGTTTTGATTCTGCATGATTTCATTTTTTATTTACGATGCCACGATGACCCACATTTCTATATATACACTGTATATGTAAGATTTTTATTCAGGAATGGACTAGATGTTTACGTATTTACAACATCACATTTTAGTTTTAAATGGCGTATCCTGGCCCCTTGCATTATGGGTTGTTTGTAGCCATACTGCTGCTAGGCTAGTAAGATTACCTGAGTCCATTTTTAATCAGTCAGTCCAATCGGTTGACCGATTAATCGGGCCGATTATTTGGTGCTTGCAAGGTCGATAAACAGAAAATGACTGCAGACACGTCTGTTAGTTTGTTTCCAGGCCGGTATGATAACTCACATGCAACCTGCTGTAAGCGTTTGCCTAAAACTGTGGCTAGCATTATATATATATAACTTATGTTATAATAATGCAGTTGAGCAACATCGCTTATGACACACTGTACCTCATTCTCCCTTAATACCAGTCACATTCTGAAATCTACAGAACAAACATTATCTGCAGCAGAAACTTAGTGAGAACCAAATAATCTGTCAAACTGCCAAAAATGACCGCTGTCACTGAATCACTGAAGAGAAACTCAAAAAGACCGAACAGTGAGAGAAATATCACCTCTGAGAGCCTGACGAGAAAGTGCGAGTATGTGACTCATAAAGAAGATGAAGCATTTCCTGCACCTGAAAATATACTACACAAATGTATTTCATGTTTCACTTTTACACTTCACAATGAAAAGGCTTCAAGGATGAGGACTTTCATATTCTTAACGGTATCTAGGAGGAAACCTTCCCATCTTTTTCCAATCTACTTATTTATTTATTCATTCTGTTCTGGGTTTCCGTTCCCATGAAGTGCAGATTTAAACTGAATTTCACACTCACGTTCTCAGTGGACTGCAACGTGTGTGTCACCCTGGTGGGGCCGACTTCCTGTTTCCTGTCAGCTGATCCTTCCCAGTTCCTGCTGTCCTCCTCCCGTTGTGGCTCCAATCTGTGAGAGCCCTGCTGACCCAGGGACAGAGAGCGTACGTGTAAGACAGAAGACCTCCAGGAGAGACATTTACAGCTAGATGCTGATTCATAAAGCTCTGAAGTAGAGTGTTGTACAATGAAACTTCATCTCTTGAACATTAGTTTAAAGGTTTTTTTTAATGTTATTAGATGATATGACATATAAAGAAGGGGATTCACACAGTTCAACACAAGTGGTCAATTAATATACTTTGAGCTGTGGTTATTTCTGAATGTGACAGTTTCACATCTAAATAAAACTCTACACGTTTAATCATGACCATGCAGTTTAACAGTAGCATTCATTCTGTTCACTAACCTGGTCTCTGCTGACTGTATACAAAGCTCCTGAACTACTTTTGCAGATGCTTATAAATTGTTTTAGCTTTCAGTAAAATCATTTTAAATCAATATTTTGTCTGCTGTATTTGTTTTTGGGACTCTGCTGTTTGTAAGAAGTTTGTTCTGCTTAATGTCAGTGTCTTTATTCTCTCTCAGGAGATTAATTAGCTAAAATGAGCAGCATTACATCTATACCTTAGCAACAAAAAAACATCTGTTTCTGCCATACAGACATTGAACATTAAACTGACCTTGTGGTCCATCTCCTCCTCAGTGGTCCTGCTCTCAAGAGGCTCAACCTCTCCGTACGTCAGCGTCCCGTTGCGGCCGATCTTGACATGTTTCTTGTACGTGTAGTAAAACTCCACACACTGCGCCACCGACTTGGTGATCACCTGTGAACGACACACACATTTCCCTGTTAATGGAGTTTTAATTTCTCTCTCCTTTCTTTGTAATGTCACTGCGTGCAGGCTGTTTTGGAGCACAGTCCTGCTGTTGGAAAGCAAACACGAGACACAAGACAGAGCAGATGATGTGCAGCTTTAAAAAAAAAATTAATTGTCTGTTTTTATTCAGTATATTTTGTATTATGTTTTGTATTTTTGGTACCCCTGATGACTTAATGTCCTTCAGATAATAAAATAAAATGACATTTGTTTTGAGAAGCTTCATTGCGGCTACAGCAACAGCCGTCTCAACAACAAAGGCCTAAAGCAAACTCATAAATCAAATTTTAAAAGCCTTTAATCTGGTGGTTTGGCCAATGAACACTGAAAAACTTAAACTGATATAATTTGGCCTCACCCTTGATCACTGAAGTGGTTAGGACAAGAAAATTAAATTGTTTTGCAGTCTTGTGGAAAAACAATAATGGACTGTGACAGTGCAAATAATTAAACAAGGACGAAACATTGTTCCAGAGTGACTGTATTTCCTTTTCCCCGCCCACACATAGCCAGGGAAAATAATGTGTGCGCAATGTTTTTTAGGGAGGGTGTGTAAACTGTGGGTAGAGAAAAAAATCCAATCAGTCAGAGCCCACAGTTACTATGTGGCTTGGACGAGAAGTCATTTTTATTTCCCTGCTCATATGTTTGAACGTACCTGTTTCTGCACCTTGAAGAAATCCTTCTTGTACGCAGAGATGCCTTTGTTAAACTGGCGTCTCTCAGCTGCGGTCCAGCTGTCGGATCCTGAAGGAGGGGGGAGGCAGAAGGGAGATAGGTAGAGAAAGAGAGAGACATTTAAGAAGGAGGAAAGATGCAGCATGTTAATGGCCAGTTTAAAAACACTCAAGTATCTGCTTCCAGACTATATTCTGAATGTGTGCAGACACTGACAAGTTCAATCCCACCCCCCACCATTAAAACCACACACACACACACACGTAAACAATGGCTCTCCTGTCTTCTGCTTGGGATTAACCACATGCTGTAAAACTCCTCCCTTCTCCCCTCCTTCCCCTCATCATGTTGACCCTGACAATCCTCCACAGTCAACCCACTACCCCCACCGACACACAACCCTGACACTCTCACTGCTGCAGCTGCCATTGCTTTGAGGCAAAACAGAGGCCTTAGAAAGTCACTGTTGGATGGTCAAAAGAAAATAGGGGAGGAAAATGTTCGACACATCCAAGAGTCTAAATGGTAGCATAAACAGAAAATATTCAGAATGCATCTGGGCTGAAATCAGGATTTCCAAGTAAACATGGGCATTTGTTTTCAGCGTTTGAATATCAGCTGGGTGGAGTTTATCAGATAAGGCAAAAAACGGATGCCAGAAAATAATTTCAGGATGAATCCAGTAAACTTTCTGAGACATTGAGATATTAATTATTCAGTGACCTGCCAACTATTTTCTTGATTAATTATTTAACTGTTTGGTACAGAAAAACTGAACTAATATCTAAATATTATCAATTTAATGTCACTCAAGGCTTAAACAAACTGTAAATCCTCAAAACTGAAGAAGATGGAATTGCAGATTTTGTGTTGATCTGTTGTCGTTTCAGCCCTAATGCTTTTATTATGGTAAAAAATGATATTGAAATACAAGTAAATTCTACTTTTACGACTCACCTGAGTAGTGGTAGTTTGCCAGGTGATGAGACTTGGGGAAAATTGGATTCTTCAGCATCAGGAGAGACAGCGCAGCCTGAAAGAAAAACAAACACTGCTTTAAAGTGAACCAACACGGCACTTTAATTGTTATGAGCCTTTATGCAGCAGGTCACTCTCCTGCCAAACACGCTGACTCTTGCTCTATTAGGCGCTCAAACTGTGCTTTATAAACCCGTAAAATCACACTGAGCTGATGTTGCTTACAGGTAACCAGGGAGTGAGATAACCATCGTTCTCATTGTTTCTCCCCCCAGCATGTATCAAGTACCTGAGTGCATTATATCACGATCATACCCTCCCTGGCATTGTCGAAAAAATAAGAATGAACTTTGTGCTCTTTGAGAAGAAACAGTCTTGACTGTGCATGAATGTTGAAAGACGGCAGTTTGAGCCGGACTGCTGCAGAGAGTGGGCGCTTACACACACACACACCCCCCTCCCCTCGTAGTTTCCATGGTAACGTTGGACCAGTGCTGGTCGCTGGGGTCTGAAATCTCCACCAGTACTACTATAACTCTGCATCAGGCTGCGAGTCAACTCCAGCTTGTACAATTGGGCAATAATGGAAGTATTGATTTAGGATCACCGTTTAAGTCACTGTACTGTACATCTCTCCTGATCGGTGTGAAATAATTGATTGGCAATTAGATCCACTGCAATTTATGGTCGTAAAACAGGTCTTCTTTAAACAAAAATAGTCCATGGATTAAAAATATGATTTAGAAATGTTCAAACCTAATACTTAAGTACTTAATACTAAAAATAAGGTGCCACAGATACTTGAACATGTATATGGGTTTTTTGTCATTATGCAAAAGAACTTTTATTCCAATATTGCCATTTGTTTTGTGTTGTAAAGCACCGTATATTGTTGGTTCAGAAATAAAGCGTATTGTTATTTTAATTATTATTAAAGCTGCAACGATGAGTTTTTTCCAGCTTCTCTTATGTAAGAATTTGCTGCTTTTTCACATCTTAACATTATAATAAATTGAATATCTTTATATTTGAAAACACCTCCTTGGGCTCTATGAGGTATAAGTATTATTATTATTATTATCATTTAAATTAATCAAATCAACTTCAATAACAATTTAGATACAAGCTGGTTACATGCAGCAAGGCTATTCTGAGATGCTAAGCTTTCAATTTTCCTTTTTAATATCCCAGCATCCACTTGTAGCCATCTAACCCTCCCTCTGCTCATTAAATTCTCGTAAACAATAATAAATATAACTGCATCCTCTGCTGCTGGTGTTTCAAATGGGGGTTGACGTGAAACAGGAAAGAGCCACTTGAGATGCTGCCTCATAGCGTTTAACACTGCCCGCTCTTTGGCCTCGTTATCGCAACCAGCATGGGGCACATTGTTCTGTTTTTTTTGGTTAAGATTACATTCTTGGATAACAGCACTGTGAGCTAAACTAGCCCTGATGATGAGCTCTGATGTAATTAGTGGTCTGACAGTGATGCAATAGGTGTAAGACACAGGATGCATCATTGCAGCAGTAAAAAGGTGGAGCACCAATCTGACCAATCAGATTTCTTGGTGGGACTTTTTCTGACCTTCTTCAGGCGTATTTTATGACTTAGATGTTTTGTCTGGTTGCTCAAGTAGAGCAAAGAAATTTGCGTAAACCTGACCATGCGCATGTAACCCTAGTGTTAATACAACAATGGCAATACCCTGTATAATGGTGTACATTTCACCTCGCAACCTCATGGTAGAAATCATCATGTTGAGAGAAGATTTCCCCCCAAAAACACAACTTAGAAACTGGAACTAGTGAATTTATGGTTGATGGATGAATCGATTGTTTAAGCTCTGTAGTGAACCCTGTACATCACACCTCAGTGACCGCATGTGCAGCTCCTCTGCTCTACAGAGGCATCACCGTAGCCTCTGGCTCAATAACCAAACTGTTTTACTATCTCAGTCATCTCAGGCCACCACAGAGTTTCACTGTATAGCAGATTGAAAGTCTACAGATCAGTCACTTCCGTTCAGTAATCATTGAGAGCTCAGATGAAGGCATTCGATCATTACATTTAGATGCACACAACAAACCAGGTTAGTGGAAGATATCAAGTTAAGGCAGGAAGTCGTAGGACATGTGTATGTGCACTGCAACAACCCGATTACTGTAAACCTCACGTTTACATGCAGCTGGTCAGTAATACGATTTCTGCGTGGCATACTTTCAGTTTATTAGTGAGATATGAAGCTACACTTTGACATGTTTTTGTCCTGGTTGTATTTAATCATTCTGGATACAAGGACGCACTGATCTTATCTTTCATCCCACCTCTCTGAAGTCTTTGAAATGCACTTGCACGTATCTAGCAAACCCTGTTAGAACAAGGTTAAGGGTTTACAAGAAACAGAAATCAGTTTTCACCAGCAGAAAAATCTACGCTTACTAAGTGCTTTTGAAATAACTTCAAAATGATGTTACTTCGGAAAACAAAAGTAAACCCACTACTGTATAAAAACGACTATAATTGGTGGTAATTGTATCCTTTCAATCATTCTTTAAATCCCCTTGTCTTCAAACGTAACATTAAATATGAATTACTATATAAAACATCTTTACATATTTACCACGTAGGAGTCGAGTTAACCTGCTTTACCAGTGGTAGTGCTGATTAGGTTTGATTGACAGCGACCAAAAAACGCTTTTACACTACACACTAACTTGACTCGAGTATGCACAGTGCAGGACACAGCTTCCAGCCATTATTTCCATTAATCATGGAAATCCCTGCCTTGTCAGTCAGTGTGGATTGTTCTGTTGTGCTCACCATTATGTCCCCTTTGCACTCGTACAAACAATGGTGGGCTAACTCCTGGTTGGTGCCTCCTCCACAGAAAACACTGGAGCAGGCCAGGTGCATGAGGTCTTCCACTGAAAGACACAGAGTGATTATGAGCGAGCAACACAGAAATGAATACTTTTTAAAAACCTGAAACTAGAAAAATAATTGAATTCAACAGTATCTTCTGTAATTTTATTGTATTTTGTTAATGTGGGATCCACAACAAACTTCCCCACAGTGACAGTTAAGTATATTTTACCATATTAAATTGCATCATATACGCTGGTATCTGAAGAGTTCAAACTGCTTACATCTTCTCACTAAACAAACAAGTATCTAAATGTAATAAAGGAGGACATAATGAAGGATTATGCAGCTTGAGATAAAATCCCATCCGCCTTATGGTGAATTATTAAACACAGTCTATTCAAACAGAAAGTTACTTCTGTATTTTGCAAACAAGGAAATGACAGACTTCAGCCTGAGACTCAATCAAAACAAAGTGCAGTTATTCTTTTCCTGATGAGTGACATACAAAATGACCATAGGAAAATTATCTGTCCAGTAAATAGCAAGAATCTACTGGCTGCCAGTATTTAGGCTTTCAGTTTCAGGTGATGTAACAATTGTGAAATATGATACTTTTCTTACCTTTCTCCTGGTAGTCGGGTTTCTCCTCCAGTTCAGTCAGTGGAGCCCAGACCAGCTCAGCTCGATGATGATCCAGCTCAACAGCTGACCGCTGCCTCAGCTCTGGCACCTCCGCCTGGTACCGCGACCCAATATTTATCCGTCTGGGAACAGGACATGAGCGTGAGCTTTGAATTTGATCTATCCAAAATTCATCAAGTGCCTTCACTGTTAAGAAGTTTTTATTCACTCTTAAATATTTCAGTCAATACATCATGTATGAATATCAGATTTCCTTTAAGAGTAAAGCTCTTGTTTTATTTCTGAGATCATATTTTGATTTCTTGGCTTTTCTATCTGCCGTGATCTTTAAATAGTCACAGGAAGATTGTTGAGGCACTCTGGGCTCTGAGCACTGCAATTCCTGCACTGCTTTGAATTCAAGCTTGTTGTACGTGTCTCTTGTGCTCTAAAGATAATGAATAAAATGCAAATCCCTTTGAAAAATGTGTATTTCAAAACAGTGCACTTCCTAAATTCCTCAAACTGAAAGTAAAGGGATCCTCATCATGCTGTAGGACAAAGGTTATGTTCAAGTAGAAAGAAGGGCTGATTCTCAAACAAATGCATGTATCCCATATGCTTACATGTCAACTGAAACCAGATACCTCAGTGCTATAGTTGTGAAAATCATGCTGCGTAGTATTAACAGACAATCCAGTTCAAGCATGCCCCTTCCCTCCCCTGCATTTCCAGTGGGCCTGCAGTATTTCCAGCTAAGTGTGTGCGTGTGTGTGTGTGTGTGTGTATTCTGGCAGCCTCCACCAGGGAAGGTGGGCTGCTAGAAGTTCAACTGTGATGGCTCTGGTTGTGTTTGGGAGTACACCAGGCCCAGCTGAAAGCCTGATTTATGGGAAGCTTCACTGGCTCGTCCCTGACTGACTTCTGAACAGCTTGCACAACGCACCCCAACGGACTGCACCTCACTGAGCATGCAACACCACAAAAGAATCCTTGACTAATAGTTTAAGGGTTAAACTAAATGGAGTCTTAGTACCCCCCTTTCTCTGTTGCTCTAAATTTCATAAACATTCAAGCTATCAGTTTACATCTATGAAGTATTTTGGCTATTGACCATGTTCTACTGAAGGTCTTATTTGGTTCAAGTTGTTTACATGCACTGAATGAATGAATCTCTCTCGGGATAAATAAAGTATCTATCTATCTGACGTACTGCATGCTGATTTTACCTGAGAATACGTTTGAAATTCTTAAGATTTTCATGAAATTAAAACCCCATGTTTGATACGATTTATGGTAACTTTGTTCTGCAATAGCCAGTCTATGTATTTAAATTTGGTAATTACCTCCCTGTACAGTAGTTTTTATTGTTAGTGGCGGAGTCCGCCATCCCCACACTGGATTGAGAATGCCTACCGAGCTAAGTATTAAAGATTCACAGGGGACAATCAATCGAATCCTGTGTAATTTTATCTCATTGATGTCAGCAGCACTGTTCAGTCTATTTACACAGTATCGGAGTTGTATAAAGTTACAACTGATGCGAACACAACATCATACTGCTGCTGCTTCACGTTAAAAGTGTTAAACTTGTGAAACACAACCACAGGAAATGCAGTATATCAAGGTTAGCGCTAACCACGATCAGGTATCAAACATGCATCTACATAACCAAGACAACACGTATTTTGGATATTTTTTGGACGTAATTTCAACCCTTCAGCAAGGCAAAAGGGTATCAGATTTCAGCTGCACTTCTTATTGACTGACTTCCTTATTAAAACAATGAGAGTCTGTTTGGTTGCACTGGAAACAGATATATCAGTTGCTCTACTGTTGTATTTCTGACAAAGTAGCTGCTCAACGAGTGTTTGCTGTAATATTAAACTGCACTTGCTGTTGCCACGGTAACAACAAGTGTCCCCCAAATCAACCAGGTCTGAAATCTTAAGGATTACAACTTCAATATCAACAAAAGCCACATATGGTAGATTGTTAAAAACCAGATACCTGCCCGGTGTAACGTTAGCCAACCTTTGCATATTAAATTGAAACAGATTACCTTTAAAACAATCAAAACCACATTCTCTGTTCATGTATGTTACAGAGCCTCTGACACACTGACTGCCATTAGTTTTCAAAAGGCTTTAAGGCTTTCATTTGACAGTTAATATGGAGTTGTTATGACAGGATGCACTCTCTCTTATTGAGGGAGACATTAGACTGCATAGTAAGATCAGAAGGCGAATACTGGCACTAATGCTAGCTGTGGATGACAGGGCAAAAGATTCCAGTGGTAACAGTGGCGGAGAAGGAGGGCAGCTTTAAAGGATGGGTTTAGAATTTCAAAAAGCCTCTTTTCTCTTTCGGGACAATTCATGATTCAGCCAAGTGTTATGGTTTGAATAATTGATTGCAGAACTACTATGATAATGCATGCCTCTGAGTATCCATCATTATCATTTATCTGAAAACGTCACACAAACCCCCAAACCCACCCTTTCCATAATGGAAGAAGTTGATGATTTGGGGATGTTGGGAGGGGAATACTCACGGCTCTATGCTGACTGGAGTGGCCTCACTCATAGCAGACAGAACTGGTGGTGTGATATCGCAGCTGTCTGAAGGAGCAGAAACAAAAAATGAACACAGTGACATTATCAAAAAAGGAGTTATGTAATCAGAAAAGGTCATTCAGGCTTCAGGCTTAATGCTAATACTGAAACTTTCATAATTGATTTACACACAAATAGTCTGATATCAGATTATTTATGGTGAATTATTGCCAGATGCTTATTACTAATTAAGTGTCAAGAGCTTCATCATTGAATTCCCACAGTTAGGATATTATGGGGATAATTCTGGGAGGTTTTATGAACTTATCTTTTTGCTTTTTTCACTTACTGGAGCGCAACAGGCTGCGTGTTGCCGACTTGGGGGTTGCTGGAGGTGGCAGGCCCTGGGCGCTGGCTGCAGCAGCTGCAGCAGTGGACAGGAAGGTGGAGAAGTACAGGCCAGAGCCCTCACGCACAGGGCTGAGGATTGGCGGCGGCGTGTAGGGAGGTATGGTGAGGGGGTTATCTGCGAGGCGAACGGGGGAACGTAGGTGACTCTGGTAGGGTGTGATTGAGTAGACAGAGGGGGCAATGAATAAACTGGGTTTAGGTGGTGGGATGAAAAGAGGCTCGGGTCGGGGACGCCGTTTGCACTTTTTGCCGTCATCGTTCTCTCCTTCAGTTCCTCCATTCTGGTGAGGAAGAATAGTGTTAAGAGGTAAATGAATCACAGGAGTCTCTGTGTGCACTGTGATACCTACATTTTCATTTTAAGCAAGAACACACACCAAAAACAAAACCTGATAGATGAAAATGAAAAATGAATGATATGCCTACTCAAAGTTGGCTTTTTGTTTATTCATCCAGAGAAATTGTAGAGCGAAAGAACAAGGCACCCCCAACCCTCTACTCTATGGTACATAATGTACAGCATGGCAGTGCTAAACCCTGATAATCTTCCTGATCTGGGACAGGGCCACCAGTTCGCCAAATCCCCCCCAAATGAAAACAGGGAAAGGGAGAAAACTGTGGACTACTGAAATGGGGGCAGGGGAGACATGGAGAATGGTGGGGGGAAGGGAGCATGTGCTGGCGGGGCGATGTGGCATAAATGCAGGGATTTAATAGCTGGAGTTTAGACAGTGGAACACCATCAAACTACCTGTTCATTCTGCGTCAATTAATTCTTACAGTTCAACAAATAATGTAGGTTAAAGTATTAAAAATTGTACTAATTTAAAAGTGGCACCAAAGTACACTAACTTCAAAAACAATAAGAAAACAAAAAGCAGCAAAGAATGAATATGCACAAACCTGCTCTGAGCTCTCGGACAAGGAGTTCCTGAGTGAGCGTCTCCGGGTGACAATGACTGAAGGCTTGTGGTCAGCGCGGCCGAGGTCCTGGGGATTTGAAGGCCTGGGGGGCCAGTTGGAGGCCAGGGCTGCTTCATCTCTATCAGGAGAAGAGGGTTCCTTCCTTCGTACTGGAACGGACACGGGGATGACGAGTGGAACGAGGCTGTCGTCTCGGGGCCGCTTGGCATTCAGACCCTCTGAGTCAGTGGGACTCCACGGCCGGCGGGGTTCCTGATAAAGACGGTGGATGAAGTGTTAGAAGACTACTTATAAACTGATTTTCTCTTTAATATAAAGACATTAATGGCATATGTAAACGCATTACTTTCCCATTGCTAATGTGCAGGTTTGTGCAAGTAATCTTTTAAGTCAATTGTTAGATAAATAGATAGATAGATAGATAGATGAATGGTGCCTGCGCGCGCTGGCGCCACCCCCACACACACACACACTACAAGAGGGCCAAATTTGTGTTTTATTTGATTGTTTTGTATGTTTTTTCAATATATCTTGTCACTGTAAAATTGAAAAATAATAGTCAGATTAACTGATACTAAAAATAATGGTTAGTTGCCACCCCAAATGTCAAAATTACGTCCCTTGTTGAGGTGAAACGTCTCAAGTGCGTGACTCCTCAAAGACAACTTCATCCTGTTGTTTCTTGCTATAAAGGCACTTGTTGAAACACGTGAAACTGCAGCTCATGAGCTCAACACATCAAAACTTTCAGGTGACACATTTTCAAATGCACAAACGAGTAAAATCTACTTGGCTAGCCGATACAGTGCACGACATAACAGGTGCAAAGAATCATACTCCCTAACAACTTAAGTAACTGTAGCTTAGCAAAACCACAGCACAGTAAATCTTTAACTAAAATTTACTTGGATATCTATTACTTCACATGGGCAGGCTGCAAATATATAAATCAATACAGTAAATTGGTACTAACCTCACACAAAAACAAACAATATGAAGAGAAAATGATGTCTCATACTCAAGTAACAAACAGTGAACTGCTGTGAAAACTAACCCTTCAGAAGACTCAGCGAAAGCCTTCCCAGACAAGCCTTTCGTGTGTCTGCACCTTGATACAGTACTGTTAGGTGCAGCACTTAAGTGACAGACCTTGCATACATGGCAAAGGAACCGTCCCCAAAAGCATTCTTCACATTTCTTTCTTTGAGAAACCATAATGAGTGGGCCTGTGTGCTTTAGAGCAACGATCAATTCTGGAGCAACTTCAAAGCCATCTGAAGCACCACATCACAGGCCAGTCGAAGACAGATGCATTCTGCCACTGCACACTGCATCTTCATGGCTAGAGAGGCATGCAGCAGTGTGGCTACGCTAAATCTGTGCTCATTATTGCTGGTGGAAAACTCCAGCCCCTACACCAGAGTGGTGGAGAGACATTCTGCTGAGCACTGCAGGCAGGGCAACCCTTCACCCCTCCCTGTATAGAGGGAGGGGAGGCCAGGCTGGAGTTTCTCTCCTTTGATGGGATGGGGGGAGGTGTGCAGGCATGTAACCGAACACACTGTCTGTATGATCAGCTACCCGTGAGGCAAATCCAGGGCACAGCCATGCTGAAACTACAGACATACTGACTCAGTGCTGTTTGGCAACAGGACTTGTTGCACAATCAAGACATTCAGTACATAAACATAGATAAGTGTAAGACTTTACAGTCAGGTTATGTGAGCTGAGAAGTCACATATGAAGCTATTTGTGAAGAATGTTTACCTTGTGACAACATTCACAATGCAAAGTCTTGTTTTAGCTGCATATTTTTCCAACAAGGCAGAGCTAAGCAGCTCAGTTCTGGGGTGCATACTTCGTTGGGGCGTTGATTACATTCAGCATCTCTTCCAGCAACACGTTAATCACAAACAACACAAGTTTGGCACAGTTTTCCTGGCAGTTGCGTTAGGCCGTTTGTTCCAGTTCCCACTCTTGCTTGGGGAGTTAAAGTCCCACTGCAATTATACCCTGGGATAACACTAGAAAAATAGATTTTGTAGCTCTCGCGGAGATATTCGCAATTAAGGCTTCCAGCTTGCAGCAACGAGTTTAGATATAAACTGCAATGCAATCATCAGGATTCGGAACACTCAGTTCTTTTCTGTTTAAGGTTATTTCTGTGGTTGCTTGAGAGGAAACAGCTGAGAAACAGATGAGTGAGCAAAAGAACAGCGAAAACAGAAAGACACAGAAAAGGAAAGACATGGAAAGAAAAACGAAAACATTGAAAGATTATTTTGACAATCTCAAAACTGAATGGAGCACTTACCTTTACAACATGTGGTGGTAGAGACTCCATTTCGGAGGCCTTCTGAGCAAGGGTCTCCAAGTTGACCTCCTGGGACACCCTGCGTTTCCTGCGCGTGCTCTGGATGACGCCTGTCGGGGCCGCCTGGATGTCACGGGCCCCGTTCTGCGAGCCCTGCGGCCCCGGGGCAGCCTGATCCGAAGAGACGGAGAGAAAGGGGTTGTCGGATGGCGCCCCACCTTCCTTGGATAACCGTCGTGATCTGCGAAGGTGGGTTTGAGATTGGAGTTGTGTCTGGGGCTGTGACTGGGACAGGGGGTCAGACAGGAGAGGGGGCTGTAGTGGATCTGAAGGCTGCTGGGGTTCTGGGGTGATGTCCTGGATAATTGGTTCCTGGATCTTTGGGGGAGCTGGAGCAGAGGACTCCTGGGAGTGTACCACCACAGGCTGTGGATGTGGGTGAGGGTGTGCATTTTGCGCACCAGGGTAATAGTCAAGCACATGAGGGTTTTGTTGTTGCAACTGCTGATGTTGCATTTGTTGCTGAATTTGGAGCTGTTGCTGCTGCTGCTGTATCTTTTGTTGCTGCTGCTCGTGCTGCATTTGTTGCTGCTGCTGTAGCTGTTGCTGTACATGCTGTTGGTGTTGAATGATTTGTTGTTGCTGCATTTGATGATGATGCTGTTGCTGAATTTGTTGCTGGATTATGTGATGTTGTTGTTGTTGTTGTTGTTGTTGTTGTTGCTGCTGCTGCTGTTGCTGGCGTTGGATCTGCTCTTGCTTCTGCAGCTGCTGCAACTGGTGAGGGGGTTTTGCTTGTGTGGAATAGATAGGTGGATTAGGTAAGGTTGTCCTGTTGCCTTGAAAGGTCTGGTAGTAGGGTGGCAGGTGCTGCTTGGGTTGACCAAAGGCCAACTGGAAGGGCTGCAAGACTGAGCTTCCTCCTGGGTGGGATGTGCTGTGCTGCTGGGTGTTCAGTGCCCCAGGTTTCAAGGTCTCCTGAAAGGCCTGGGACTGCTGCTGCTGCTGCTGCTGCTGCTGTGCTGCTGCTGCTGCTGCTGCTGCTGCTGCTGCTGCTCCCACTCCAGTCCCCGAGCCTTGACTGCATCCCTGTATGCATCAACTGCAGGGTTAGGCCCTAGAGGCAACTTGTCTGCAGTTCTGTTAGAGGGCTGCTGATGTGGCTGTAAGCCAGAAGTCTCATGCATAGACTTTGCAAATGCATTCTGGGTCCTTGAGTCCGTTACATTAACTCCTCCGATGTAATTAGCAATGTTTTGTCCCCAGTTAGTCATGGTATTCCACGAGGCAGCTCTCTGCTGCTGGGACAGAGATGGCTGCTGCTGACTGGGCTCCTGGTGCGCCCACTTCATAGGCACAGTCTGCTGATAATGACCCCTGCTCTGGTCGCCCTTATCTGGGCTGAATATGACCGAGTTTAGGTACATGTGAGGGCCCTCTGGATTGGAGGTGACAGTACTTGCAGCCTCGCTCTGTCCGGGGTCTGAGGCAGTGCCACCCGGAACATAGTACGACCCCTCAGGGTGCTGAGAACTCTCCTTCATTGCTATGCTTTGTTCGTTGAAAAACGTGATGCGTTTGCCAGTTCTTTTGGCGCTGGGTTTCTGCTGGGCTGGTACGCTCATGACGGGCATGAATAAGCCGAGCCAGGTGAGTATTTCCAAGCAAACCAGCTATTAATGCTCCACTGGGTATCACTTGAATATATCAATCCAAAAAAATCAAAAGGGCAACCACAGTAAAATAACTACATTGACATCAGTGGCGAAGTCAAGCAGGGTAATCGCCTCTTCCCCTCTGAAGTTCTTTGTGACCAACTCAGAGGTCGCCGGCCTGGGGTGAGCAGATCTGAAGAAGTCTGCCTGTTTTTCTCATTCATGGGCAACACCCTGTATAGAGAAAATGAGAGAGGGGTCAAGCATTGAGCCATCAGACTAAAGGGGTCCCCACGGGGGGGGGTCTCATTATCATCCCCGCCTCAGCCATGTAAAAACCTGCTGTTTGCTTTTTCAACAATAGACCTCTACTGAAAGGTATCGGGTGTGAGAACAGAGGAGGGGAGGGGCAGGTCTAAACTGTTTCATCATTCCCTAAGCTCACATGACACAGGGATAAGATCCTGCACGCAGGCCAACACGTATACTGAACCTGAATATGCTATTGGAACTTTATGAAAGGTTGTTGATAGAGATAGCTCGATCAATAGTTCCTGGAAATGTCATCACAGGATATTACTGCACCACGTTTAACGATGAGCATGACATCAGCACCGGGGGAGATAACGCGCACTGAAAAAATGTCCCTCGTGGCTCCACTGCCCAGTAACAGAAAAAAGGAAGCTCTCTTTCCCGCCAAACTTTCAGCAGTTTGAACGTGACAGAAACCTCTCTTTTTACAACTGTGTGATTCATAAGAGGTGTAAAAAAAGGAAACCCATGCCCTTTGAACTATGTACTGCAGACTCAAAAAGGAAGGGCAACTGAAAGCGAGCAGACATGAGTCATGATGACACGAGCTTCGCAAGGGGAAAAAAGGAGAGCAGGGAAAAGTCAAAATGGCCTTGCATGCTTTGATAGCTTGTAGGGGGATCTTGACAATTGCCATGGAAACCTGTGATGATTATCAAAAATATTATCCGATGGCAGGGTTCTGGAGCAGATTTTGACACAGCGCAGTCTGCCAAATATCAAGATGCACACAGATCCAGACTGTTTCTGTTTAAAATTTCAAATCCTTGCTCCATCTGTATTAAAACAGAAACTGTGTCACTCTTGTGCAGCAGTCAACCATCTAAAAACAGAAAACCACTGAGGCTCTTTATCGCTGCAAGAATCACCATAAGCAAAAAAAAAAAAACAACAATTTCTCAAGTAGATTATATAAATGAATACAAGAATCTCTACAACATGGACTTGCCAAAAGGCCCATCTCTCACAACCTAGGAAGTGACTGACAATTGTCACCCTTTACTCTGGTGGCCTAGTAAAACAGAAGCTTCCTAAAATAGACAGCTGCAGCTGTTCAGATCCTGCACTGGCTCAGAGGCACCACTGACTGAGAAGGAAACTGAATGACCACGCAGTGTGGCTAACAAACAGCGTGTGTGCATCAGCGACGCCATGTGATGCTACACACGCCTATAGCCATGTTGTCAAACCCCCCCCCCCATTAAAACATCCCTCTCTCTGAAGGAGCTGCACATAAATACATGTTTTACCTTGCAGACGGACCCAGCTTTTGGAGCAGAGATATTTTAACCTGCTGATCACTGGGCGACCACGCTGTGTCTCTGTGCATTAAAAAAAAAAAAAACACACACACACACACACCATCTGAGGTGAGGGATCATCGTGACGCATCACAAGTGCAACCTTACACAAGCCCCGGGGTTTAGCCCCATAAACAAAAGTAACACGTTAAATTGGATTAGAATAAATGTCAAGCACCATTAGCCTCCCTAATCCATCGCCGTTTCCTAATATAAAACCCAGCCCCGTTGTGTGTGTGCACGGCTCGCACAACCAGCGGGAATGCGAAGGGGCCTGCAAGCGTGCAAGAAAACAGACACAATTAAGAAAAAATATAATAAAAAAGGAAAAACATGCTGAGTCCTTCCACGACAGGACTCTTTCCTGGACCTCCCTCCCACTCTCCCTCCCTTCCACATCACTTTCTGACGCCAGCCAGCTCAGCGCTATTTACGAGAAACCCTTTGTTGCAGGAAACGGATTATCCAGTGCCATGTCCCGTTGCAACCACCCGAGCCAACAATGCAGCCCCCGTGTGCCCAGAAGACAGCTAATAAACAAACACCGAGGATCGATTCAACTTGTCAGCCACGTTAATACGTCACATGTCTCTCTCATGCACGCTGCAAGTCAATCCGCTTTGACATATATAGCAATATATATATATAATACCATATAAAAACATCCTACAGACAGCCGTGCGCGCCCTGTTCGTCTCGGCGAGGTAAACAAAACTTTGTCAGCGAGCTGCGGCCACAATAACACAGCAACTGTCGACTACAAACAAACAACGCCATCGACAGCACGGCTCCAGTGCCCCCTCTCTAATGTCTCTGTCCCAATACTTACTGCTGGTTTTGGTCATGAAAGCTGCTACTAACGGCGGCTCAGCCCTGCAGGATCGCACACATCGCAGCTCTGCGCGGCCAGCAGCGGCAGCAGGCCCGCACCATACAGACAGACAGACCCGCGATGATGACTGCATACATCCCCAAGGTTGACTCATGCTATGCTGCTGACCTCACACTCGCTGGTACTTTTTTTTTCTCCCCCCCCCCACCCCTCACTCACTCACTCACTCCCCCTCCCTGCTTTCTATAAAGTCAAGAGCAAAAGAGGATCGACGTCCGTGCGTAAACAGAGTTCTTCCAGGTCGGAAACGCAGCGCTAATCTGCACAAACTCTCTGTTGCACATTATTGCACTATGGTTGCACACACAGAAAAAAAAAAACTCACGCTGACAATGCGGCCTTTTTTTTTGCTGTACATCGAGTCTCTCCGTGTCTCTGCTTGTCTTGTGATCCCCCCCCCCCCCAAACCACCACCCCCTTTCCCTTGATACCCTCCCATCCCCAGCCACCAGCTCGATGGCCACACCTACTTCCATGCCCATAAAAGGTCTTCCTCCAACATGCAAGGCGCTGTAATTTACGGAGCAAGATCCCTCTCAGTGTATGCGGGAAATTCCTACACACATGGGAGGACCGCGGGGATGGAGGGGAAGGGCACACCCGGCTACTCTCGCTTTCCAAGTTTGACACACTTCCTTTTTTCATTTTCTTTTAAGTCTTTTTTCTGAAGAAATCTCTTCTTATAATTCCTGTGTGGTGGATGCACACAGCAGGGAGGGTATTTATTTATGGAAGCTGCAGAAAAAACCCCCAGAGAAAATCTGGTGGTGAAAGCAGTAGATTTAAATTTATATTAAGACAGAGATAGAAGAATTTTTTGTTTTGTATTTTTGTTTTGTTTTGTTGTTGTTGTTTGTAGATTATGTGAATTGGTGCTATGAGAAACAGTCACTTTCATTATCCATAATCAATAATCTTATAATGCTTATTTTATAAATGTATTTGTTAGTTTGTGAAATGTCAGAAAAAGAGTGAAAAATGTGAAACACAGAGCCCATGGTGGCGTCTTCAAACGTCCCCACATATGATAGCATATATGTTTTGGTATCTCAGGTGTAATTAATAATATTAATACTTTATTTATATTACTTTCAGGTGGTCAAGGTCCAGCAAGCTTTTATTGTGAAAGATGCCAGAACAATACAATGTGTGCTTTTCCTATACTGTCAAGTGAATTAATCTGCCATGAAAGTTCCAGTTTCTAGATGAGAAGGATAGTTTAGCTAGACTTTGTTGTGAGCTCTGCCACTAAGGCCAGTAGAGCTACACACCATTTAAATCAGTATCAGCTGTTCGGTACCAGTCTCCAACTGTGTTCATGTGAGTTTCACATGTGGAAGAAATAATAACTAGTGAATACTTAACCAGGCCCAAATGATGCAAGGCGATCTGTGGCCTACACGGTGATGTAATGTCAAACAAATAAAAACGATAGCTCAGATAAAAAAACAAGTGACCCTGATCGGCATGAGGCAAATGTATAAGGAAGTCCTGAAACAAACTGCTGACTGATTAGTCAACCAGCTGATTCAGTGTAAGTCAATGTATTATGTAGTTCAACAGAAGAACATAAATGGAGAACTACTGAACAGGCTGGTTCATCACTAGACAGCACAGGAACCGGTATTGAACATGGTGTCTTACTGACACTTTAATAGCACCGAGCCATCAGGATGTAAAGTTCGAATGGGTAGTAAATGTTAAAATTATACCAGCCACTCGTTACTATTGTTTCTTAAGGGCTGGTGAGTGAAGCAAATCTACCAGCCACTTGCATCTGTGTTGTGCTTTTCCAGCTATAACAAGTCAAAATGTCCACTGTGAAAAGGGAAGGGAAGTCAAACAGTCTGCCTACTCCTATATGATGTTGGAGTTTTAATATCATGGCATTGGACATGACTAGGCATGTGAGAGCCAGACTCTGCAGGGCGGTAGTCTCTCTCCCTCTCCCTCTCCCTGGTCTTTGGCCCTTAAAATAACGTGCAAAGCCTGAAAACATTCACAGATGCAGCTGACAAGTAATCGAGTCAGACTGACATGCCTGCCTCCGATGACACTGTGACTGCGCTGGGAATTGTGGTGTCACCACTCAGTGTGAGTGTTTGTGCCAAACAACCTTTTTTCTCTCAGCGGCACCGATGTGGTTTTGTTTTAAGCTGATATATTAGTTGATTAATGGTTTAGTCGACTGAATGAAAAAAAGGGAATCAGATTAGACTTTTTCAAGCTAAAATGCCAAATACTTGATGGTTGCAGCGCCTTTAAAGTAAAGATTTTGTACTTTTCTCTGTTTTTATTTCACAATAAAGAGGATGTCTTTGGGGCTCTTTTCTTACATTTCTCATTTCTGATTTTACAGGATTAATTGATAAAGAAAAGAATCAAAAGTTGCATGCAGACCTAGACACCAATATCCTGCATTTTCCCCCACACATGACAAAAAAAAATCCCCCTACAAAATCACGTGCACAACACAAGTTGTTTTAGATATGCCAATTTTCAGCTCACTGCCACTATTGACAAGCAGTAAACTAATACTGACTTTATCAAACTTAACATATCACTTTATAATCTGCTGATCATGTTGATCACTAGCTACAGGTGTAATATGACACACTGGGTGTGTTTCCTCCGGGACTTTCTGAGATTCTGTGTGTGTGTGTGTGTGTGTGTGTGTGTGTGAGAGAGAGAGAGAGAAATAGAAAGAGAAATCATGGCAACCGAAAGAAAACAGAATATGTGTGCTGTGCTCACTCTTCGACAGGTGGGACACACTTCCTCCTGCAATGCATTTGATAGTATAAGTAACATTTATTTTAACAAATTAAAATCAAAACAGATTTCAATGCTCTAAATCACCATGCAAAAATAAAAAAAATAACCAGAAAGAGAAGGAGACAGGGCATATCTTGCTGCCCAATGTGTATTAACATGCCACAACCTGAGGGACAATGAGTGACCTATATACACAAATACACACTTACATGAAAAAAAAGTCACTTATTTGTGTTTTGGTCTACTTTAAATCAGTTTTCTACTTTATTCTAAGTTATTAATATCATTATGCCCTTACTAACCTGTATATGCATGTATTTAACACTTGCTTTGGTAATATAAACCCATGTTTCCCATACCAATAAAGCTCCCTTTGAATGTATCTGCATTCATACAGAGAGACTGAGGGTAAGTGCAGGGTTGGGTGAAGCTACCTATATTCACCACAGCTCCTATATATACATATATATATATAAACACATAAACAAAAACACATTAATATGTGGCTAATAAGAGCGTACCACACACAACACACCCAGCACAGGGTTGACATGCACAAGCTAACGCTGTACTTACATTGAACTGTCCCTCCACGGCTCACACATACAGTAAAGTCTTCATTTCCCTGTAGCCACCAGTAGCTTTTGCTGTGCAGATAAAGGTAACGGTATGCTAAGTGTAACTGCAGCGACTCACTATCGAAACTTTTTTATTTATTTATTTATTTATTTTTTATATAAATTCCTCCACAAGGCGTCACTTCCCAGTTCCACTTTGAAAACACTTTTAGCTAGCTAGTCGACTCTCTCTGCAATGTCTCCGTGGGAACCGACCCCCCCCCCCCCCCGGCAGTTTTATAAGCTTTGATGCGAAGCGACCGACTGCATTGGCAACGTAGACTGTCAGTGTAGTTAAAGTCACTGGCCGAGTGTGTCCGATAGCTGCAGTATCGATGACCTGTAATAATAAGGGCGCGTACCGTTTCTGATTTGCCGTGGCTGCCTTAACGGCTCAACTGCACCTTGGAGAAGACGACTTATGTCCGACAAGATAGTACCCCTCTTCTACACCGGAACAGCGGAGGGGAGGGAGGGGGGGATAATGTCGTGTACCTCACGTTAGCGTTCAGATGATTAAGAATGTCATTAGCTAACTTCAGGGAACACGAAACAGATACATATTGAGCATGCGCAAAATAATAATATAAAATAATAATAAAAAAAAAAGGCTGCCTTTTAAACATAATAAAAAAACAAAATAATTTTAAAAACATGTCGACAGTGGGCGTCACACGAAGTGGTCACTGTTTTAAAAATAGATACGGAATCAAACACGGGATGCTTATCGATTACCAGCTAAAAAAAAATAAATAAAAAAAAAAGATCGGCCCAACTGCCTAACGGGATTTAAACGAAGGCGGAAGTTAGTGACAGGGAAGCCTCTCGCTCGGTTAGCGCTGAATGAGTGGCGTCTGTTGACTTTCTGCTAGCTTACAGACTAAACTAGAAGGAACCTGTTCGACAATGTAAACATATTGAATAGTTTTTATAATTAATAGTCTTCTCCAGTTGCTATTTATTAGTATTAAAATCCGCACACCATTTAACTCTGTATGTGACCTTGGGGCCGTTTGTTGCCAGGTCTGGTTATCACGTCAGGTACCAAGTAGCGTAAAGTTAAGAGGCTAACGTAACTTTTTCAGAGATGCAGGTGCAGAAAGTCGTTCTCAACTCACGACCAGGTAGGAAAACTAACAGAAGAATGTCCTATTTTATGATGTCCTATGCTGCAGCATTACTGCACCCGTGTGGCTGATGTGTATTTCAAACCACTTATTTACATTAAGGTACAAACGGGGCGCCAGTTCCTGAGAATTTCCGTCTGGAGGAGGCGACTTTAGCACCTGACCTGAAAGATGGGGAGGTCCTTGTTCGGACGCTTTACCTCTCAGTCGACCCTTACATGGTAGTTGTACAGCCACTCACGTTATTGTATCTGCGTATGCATTAGGAGATACACAAATGGTGCAAGCTCACAACAATCAGGGCTGCACAATTTATTGAATATTATCTAAAGAAGATGCAATTTGAAGGTAAAATGAGCATTATGACGAAGTTTGTTTTGTACAGACCTAATAAAAACAGGTTATATATCATGATTTTAGTAGTTTTTTAACTGGAAATCTGTGATGCAAAAAGGATAATTTCCACTAATCGAGAATCATATCGCAATATCTGTCAAAATAATCGCAATGTTGTATATTTTTTTTATCATATCGTGCAGCCCCAATAATAATAATAATGTATCAAAGTTTTAGATCAGTGAAACTAGTCCATCTGTGTCATCTATAGAAAGGTTAATGCAGCCAGTGTCAAAGCTTCCCCATCTCCATAACTCCCATAAATCTTGCTGTCTTTGCTGTTACAGCGATGCAGAATGAATGAAGACACAGGTGCTGAGTACCTGACTCCATGGCAGCTGTCTGAGTGTGTGGATGGCGGAGGTGTCGGTGTGGTGCAGTCCAGCCGCTGTAGTGCCTGCACTGAGGGAGACGTGGTCACTTCATTCAACTGGCCTTGGCAGACCTTTGCTGTTATGAAAGGAAGTGTCTTACAGAAGGTGCAGCATATTGCCTTGTGTGTCAACACCGGGATATAGTCCATCATGATGATTTAAAAAGCACGCATGGACTAAAAGAGCCCTACACGTACTGCTATTAATACTAATATTACCTTCTGTCTATTGCAGGTCGATCCGCAGTTGGTTGATGGGCACTTGTCTTACTTTTTGGGTGCAATTGGCATAACAGGCCTCACTGCACTGTTGGGCATAAGGGAGAAGGGCAACGTGACCAAGGGGGCCAATCAGACCATGGTGGTGAGTGGAGCGGCTGGGGCCTGTGGCTCCATAGCCGGACAGGTAAATACAGCACATTTTGGTTCAAAAAACATGTTGTCTTTTATATATATAAATATATATTATGTATATAAATAAATATATATATATATATATATATATATATTATATTATATATATATATATTTATACAGCTGTAGCTATCTGAGGTACTGGCAAAATGCACACACAAAACATTTTTAAAATCTAAACGCCTACTCTCATTTTACTTTTAACCACGCTCAGAAGATCTAATCTAGCTAACCACAGATGCAAACATAAACAGAGCGGATTGCAAAGAAAAGGAAGTGACATCCTGATTAGATCATTTTTGACCCTGCTTTTTTATTTTTCCAGATCGGCAGGCTGGATGGTTGTGTGAGAGTAGTTGGGATTTGTGGTTCTGATGAGAAGTGCAGAGCTTTAGTGGAAGACCTGGGCTTTTCTGCAGCCATAAACTACCGCCAAGAAGACGTCCCTGCTAGGCTGAAGGAGTGCTGCCCTGGTGGGGTAGATGTTTACTTTGACAACGTGGGAGGTACCATCAGTGACACTGTAATCGCACAGGTACTGCTTGAGTCGAGTCTGTGTGTGCAGAGCGTAATCTAGTGGATGTTTTACTTGAGCTTTTTTACATTTCTTGTGTATTTGGCAGGGAAAATGTGTGAATTCTGAGGTGTTTGTTGGCTTCTCTTTCCCTAATTGTGCCGCCAGCATTTGCAAAATTAGAAGTGGTGGATGTGGATTCTGAAGGGCCTCCTCTTAATCTTAAAGTTTTCTGTGCCTTACATCGACCTCCAACCCTCCTCTAACCTCCAGATGAACAATGGTGGCCATGTGATCCTGTGTGGGCAGATCTCGCAGTACAACAAGGATGTGCCGTACCCTCCACCCTTGAGCGATGAGACACAGGACACCCTGCGGAGTAAGAACATCACCCGGGAGAGATTTACGGTGCTCAACTACATGAACAAAGCAGACGCGGCCCTCTGCGAGCTCAGTCAGTGGGTTAAATCAGGCCAAATCAAGGTAAGGAGGAAATGATGATGATGATGATGATGATGATGTGTGGTTGACCATGTGGGTGTCTTTGTTCGTTTGCAGAATGCATGCTTCTTTCCTCCTCTTTGTTTCATTTAGTTGGAATTTTGCTTTCGCTCTGTAGGTGCTGGAAACTGTGGTGAATGGCATCGGGAGTATGGGAGGTACGTGGGTTTGAATTTGAGCATTTTTCTTTCTTCTTTATACTCTTTCTTTTTGATTAACTTGGCAGAAGTTGAATCATTCTTTCATTTTGTTGCAGATGCGTTTTGCTCTATGATGAAAGGGGGAAACATTGGCAAGCAAATTATAAAGATATCAGAGTGAAGAAAATCACCGTAGCTGCCAGCAGAGACTGCTCTCACCAGACGCCTTGGGAAATTAACCTTCTGTTGCCTCTCCATTACTGCCGTTAACACTAACTTAATGAACTCTAGAACGACATTGCCCTGATTATCTGAAGCCCAGTGTTTGCAATTATGAACCATAGATGAAAACTTTTTTGTGTTTTTTGTTCTCAAGAAAAATAAAATGAAATGTAAAGAATGCTTTGGAAGTTACATAAATGTTTAATATTTGATTTAGACTTTTGGAAATTGGTGCAGCAGATACAGAAGAATAGTTGGTTTTAAACATATTATAGTTGTACCATTACAAGACATTAGCAGACATTGAACTGACAAAAGGCAGTAAAAAGTTATCAAATAAGTCTAAAAAAAAGTTATTAAGTAATATTAAGCTTTTTAATGTAGGTAAAACTGTGTGTTAGCTGAACACAGGAAAAAAACCTGCCTTCTCAGCTAACTACCTCGCTGAAGAGTTAACATTCTTCATAAAACTACGCCAGCCTGTACAACCAGAATGCTTGTAACAGTAAAATAATGGTGGCAAGTTATATATATATTATATGGAAGTTATCAATAACACAAGTTAGATTACTAACACTACTTGGAAGTTCAGAGTTTCTATATTTATAACATTATTATCCTCTTTATTTACTTGGCTCTTGTCTTCACCAGAGAACACAATGGAGATAAACCTTTTAATGTATCTTTTGATGTTAAATTAAAGATTTTTTAACTACCATTTGCTAGCTAAATTTGTTTTAACTCAACATTTTGTTCATTCCTGTAAAGAAAACTAAATAAAATAGTTATTTTATATAAAAAAATGTTTTATAACATTTTGATTATTATTTAGGATGTGAACTGTAGATATTCACTGAGCCTTCAGTCTGTTAAACAGCCTCGTCCTGTATTTGAAAAGAGCTGAAAGAACAACAGCCGAGAATGAGGAGGAGGAGGAGGAGGAGGAGGAGGAGGAGAGAAAACACTGAACTACATATGATTGTTAACAATAAGAAAACAAAACCACTAATTTTACACAAACCTCCCACAGTTACTGCATTCACTGTGAGTTAATAGTACAGTTAATCAGTTGTTGCTGTGCCGGTATTGTTATGCAGTAAATATAAACACAAGAGTACAAACAGCGATGTATTAACATTAGTTTTAATGAAGAAAGTTAGCTGTAGCTAGCTGAAGAAACTAGTGCCCACTGTTTTCTACCAGTTAAGCTACTAACATGCACAGCATCAATCACATTGTGCAGATGTGATTCGAGATCTTCTTTCTCAAGAAATTAAAGACTTTAAAGTAGCATTACCTAGCCAATTCTGTTAGCATCAGCTTTACAGTTAATGTGCTTTAATGACAAAGATAACAAGGGTGATGCTACGGCAGTATGTAACATATGGATGATGAATATTACATGCACTGAATGGGTGTTAAGAAGAGCTATAGCTGAAGAGGGCTGGTGTATACTGTATTTTCCACTAGTGTTTTCAGTTAAGATACCTTCCCCTTCTTTCATATACACATAAGGGAAATGGGAAATGTAGTTTAAAAGGAAGTAGATAAATAATGTGTGCCTAGACCAACTGTGTAGGAAAACTAAGGAGAATAAAATGAGAGAGAAATAAGCATTTTGAGTCATCTGATGATGGTTTTTTACTGTCAGGCTCCATATTCTCGTTTCAAAGACGCGAAGACAAACAAAGTATGTAATTTACCGTAATGAACATTTTATTCCACAGCACTATAAACCATTAATAAAATAAAATTGTGGTTGGCTCTAATTTCAGTTGTCACAAGAAAAATATGTGGCAGGTGTAAAATCGTCATCTGTTCATTCATATACTCGTGTTTCAACGTAGGAGGAGTTGGGGGGGGGGAATGCAGAATAAGTGAACTGAACACCAGTACATCACTTACAGTATATTCCTCGGTGGTGGAGTCAGTTTCTTTTTTCTTGTGAACAGTCAAATCAGTGTACAGTACAGAACAATCACAACCAGATTCATAGTTAAACATAATCAGTGAGCATCAATAGAGATGAAGTTTTGGTGCTTTTCTGCCACCAAAAAAAACAAAAAAAAAAAAAAAAACTGTCCCATGCATAATTTGGAGGTGGAAGTGAAATGCAGTCTCATTACCCTCCAAATCATCAAATACTGCCTCCTTGTGGACAGATTACATAGCTTGTGAGAGGTATTGATCGTCATGGAAGAACCCCCCGTTTGAAATATCTATCTATCTATCTATCTATCTATCTATCTATCTATCTATCTATCTATCTATCTATATGCTGGAATTCTACACTTGGTAATGCTCTCATACGATGATGAAAAAGACTTCTATATGCAGAGTGGGAAAGTTATTAAACCATTGCCGGCAAGAGTGCACATAATTGAATTTTCCCAGTGTCTAGCAGCTGTTCTAATATTAAACTGCGTGCCTTATCACAGCACTGAGCAATTATTCTCCACTCACGCTGGTGTATGATTTAAAAAAAAAAAAAAAAAACTCTATTGGAACATTGCTTCTATTAAAAGACTTGATAAATGTGGTCTTCATCCTATTTGTCTCCTCTTTTTTAGACCGGTTTGTTCTTGTGGAACCCAGCACCTGCTACGACTGACTGGAAAGGATTGAGCTAGAGTGCAAACAGACACAGTTAACTGCTCTCCCACCTTCACAATAAAAAAGGGAATTAACATTCTGGGCGACACAACAAACGTGTTTTTCACACACAAAAAGCGGTCAAAGTAACGCAGGACATTTTCTCCTTTCTCGTGCTCGACGAGGGAGGTGAAGAATGCCCGTTTGCAGTGCAGATACACAACATTAAAGGAAAAAAATCACTCAATACAATCAGGAAAGGAATAAATAAATAATAAAAAAACAGCATAGTACTGCTTAATCTCATTTCACCACATCTATAAACACATTCATTTTGTTTAGTTTGTTTTTTATTAGCCGCCACGCATCTCGACTGTTTGACATGTTGTTTTTTTTTTAGTTCACTGAGCTACTTGTGGAGTATAAAAACATTGTCCTGAATTTCTACTGGGACCAGCCTATTGTTCGAGTGCTCACATTCCTGAGAAACAAACAGCTGCTTCCTGTAGTCACATTTGAAGGAGCACATAGAGTCGGGCCGACTTCTTTTTTTTTTGTGTTTTGGTGCATTTTTTTTGACATGACTGTTCGATGCGAATACCGAGGCGTTTTATAGTGGCAGTTTTGTGCAATGTAATCACTTTTATTTAAAAACACTTTCAATCATTAACTACTTGTACACGGCTCAACTACAGTATTGGATTGATTTGTCATTTCCTTCCTTTGATTCACTGTAAATATGTAGAACAAACTCAAAAAAACTAGTGATCGTCTAGGTTGCCAGTACCTGTGTCGTCTTCACCAAAGTTACTGTAACTACGAGGGGAAGTTAAGGGAAAGCTTACAGTATACAAAGTGATGCGTACACCTTTCTTATCCACATGATTAGTGTGTCAGAAGGTAAACATGATCGGTTTTGGCACATCGAGCCTTCATTAGTGAATGAAAATCATTTTCAGGAGGGAAGAATAAAAGGTGAAATCTTTTCTTATTCATCTTTGGCAGTGGTGAAGTGGCATTTGGCCAAGGCAACACTTCCAAAAAGTGCTAAAGCTCAAGTAAATGAGTCAGCTTAAACCAAAGCAGAATACAGCTCTAATACTGTCAAACTGCGGCACACATTGGACTAGTCCTCACATAGTTTAAATAGGCGATTTTACCCTCAATGTATCCAAGGTGTGTTTTTTTTTTTTTACACTGTACAGATTGCTATGAATATGGCAAGAAATGTGCTCACCGGTACTTTACAATAACATGCATATTAAGTAAACAATACTATCTATAAACAGGATAGTGAGTGATGTACTGTGAAGTGGCGTTTGGAAGGAGGGGAGAGAGAAAGGAAGGAAGGGGGCTGCTGTGTCGGGAAATAAATTGAGGCTTCCAGCGTGGATAGAAACAGCAAAATATATCTGTGAGTCAGGCTCGGGCGGGGGGAGGAATCGTGGCGGTGCAGTGCAATTACTGTCAAGAGGGAGAGACGCTCTTGCTGTTGTCGCGGAGGAGAGGGGCGGGGCCAGTCCAGGCGCGGTAGACCAATAGCAGACTGAGCCCGAACGCCCATGTGCGGACAGGGGACAGGAAGAAGGCTATGAGGCCGTAGGTCTCCAGGAGAAAGTAGCAGGAGTGGGCCTGCCAAGTGAGCAGCAGCAGCATGAAGAGGTGAACCGCCAGAGTCCGCCAGCGGCAGCCCGGCCGCAGGAAGTGGGATTGGAAGGTGTTGCCACGGCAACGGTGGTGGAGGCTCCAGCACAGATAAGAGGTGAGGGGCATGTTGAAGAACAGGATCTGGCGGAGAGGAAATTAGTCCGGTTTAATGTGATTAGTCCTTAAAATAAGATGAGGATAATTATGATAATAAGATAAGACGAGCGGGTCGGTGTAAGGCTGCGGTTCACAATCTGTCTGGCTTGTGATCTTAAAATGAAGGCATGACTTGTGAGCAGTGCACACACACTGAGATTTTTGCATGTGGGACAGTTTAATTAGATTTTGAGTTAAAAGTATTCAGTATTTTAGAATATTGTATATATATATATATTTGGGACCTCTTGGTGTGAAAGATATAGATGTTGTGAAATTGCAAAAAGACACTAGTAGGTCTGTGGAACATATTAAGTTAAAAATTAGAATTAAAAAGTATGATGTATATGCCAAAATGGGGGTAAAGCTGCAAGATTAACAGTCTTTGGGTGTTTGGTGTTGTCTTTCTGGCCACCTGATGATGGTCTCTACCGACTCCTGAGGGAAATATCTGACTCTTTAGCTGCTAAATGCACCACTGTGTTCACCAATCAGTCACTAACTGTGTCTGTCTATGGTTTGGTGCTGGGCAGGTAGTGTACAGTTGGTTTTTAGGGCTTTTGTGATGAAAACAGCTGCCTGCTGTGGCTGAAAACACTATGAGAGCAAACCAGAACCGTTAAGCTGAAAGCTCTGTAGAACAGAGGGCGATAGTCATGTGACCTTTTGCTAATAAAAAGCATTGATTTTAGTTGCTTTAAGTGTGTGAAACATGTGAAGTTATAACCTATATACACAACTATTACACACACAAAGCATATTTGCAGAAGGTCTTGCTCATGGTACAGACACTGCTGAGATTTAGACACATTGAATAAAATCCATTTTCTTACTTGCACGACTCCAACAACGTAAGTGAGACTGCCCTCCAGGAAGTGCCCATCAATGAACACCCCAAAGGCGAAGCAGGCCCCACTATGGCCGTCTATCAGCTCTCCTATGAACCATGGACCTGAGGGAAGACAGGCGGAAACATGGGAGCTATTTATGCAGAAACAGATGTAAGACTATAGAAGGCTATTTCTGAAGGAATTGCAGTGTGAAGACTGACGCTTCACTGCACTGCTGGCTTTAAAAGTGGAATAATACCAATAAGCACATGGTGTGAAACCTTTTTACCAAGTTTGTGCCGTACGGGTAAGTAAACATGTACAGTACTACAGTAAGGTATGTGAGGGTAAGGTATTTCTCTGTAATTCAGTCTGCTATTTCAATCTCTCTTGTCAGCTCTTATCAAAAGATGCAGGTAACAGGAAACGATAAATAATAATAGAAACAAAACCAAGCAAGAGTAATTTCCTGTAGTTTAATTTAATTTAAAACACTTTATGACTAATTTCTGTGTTAATCCACACCTCGCATAAAAAAATAAAAATAATAATTTGCAGAGCTTCCAGTATTCACACCAATGAAAAAGGAAATGTTAAGTAAACCAGCATGTTTACAGAGATATCTTATAGGTGCCTATGTATGTTTGACTGTTACTTACTGACAATCACAAAGAGCCATATTATGACTTCTTTAATTCACAGATACTGTGTAGATTTACTATTGCAATACTATTTTAACCCACCTAACGCTGTACACAGGTTGAACAGCAGCAGCGAGTAGTAGAAGGTGTCCATTGTACTGACCAGATGGAGCGACATACAGGCTTGAGAGGTCAATCCTGTAGATGATAAACCAAACAAAAATGTATGAATGGATAAAAAACAGAATCATTATTGTTATTTAAATAATTACTGACACCTATGTGGCAAAGCAAACATGATAAATTCTTGTTCTTGTGTCGCAACCAGAGCAAAGAGTACACTGCACTTCAGTTGCCTGTATTTTAAATTAGGTTATGATGATGTATTGGTTTGCGGGGCGGCCAGTGACAGCTCACCTCTCCCGGGAGGAACACGCAGGAACCTGAAGGCCAGCAGCACGCCGACATTCAGCAGCATCATAAATATGAAAGCCACTCGGCCCAGGATGTAGTGATCTGTGAGGAGGATGAAGGACTGCACGAAACCAAAGCTGGGAGTCAGGTCGTCCTCCAGAGTAAAGTGCTGCTCCCGCACCGACGACCGGCCTGCCGCGTCCTAACTCACACACAGACACAGGAAAAGATAAGAGGAGGCGCAAATAGGTCTACAAATATAAAAAAAAGAGCACATGAAAGTCTGCATAATAGTGGGATTGCCAGCTCTACCAGTGATCAATAGTAAGCGGTGTGTCAAAGCCACAGTGCCTAAACTGCAACCTACTGAATCATAATTCAATTCGAGCAAACAAGCCTAATAAATTTAATCAAGTCCTATGCAATATTTAAAAGTCTCTGAACACTTTTCACTTTAAGTGGAAGATAAATGAATGTAGTGACCTCCACTTTAACTCTGATGGTGTGCAGTCCAGTGAGGTAGAGAGACGGATCCCACAGCAGCACGTACAGAGGACCTCCGGCAGAGTGGCCTTTCCCCAGAGGTTCCCCGTCCACACTCACATGCACTGCTGTGATTGGAGCCTCGGAGAAGGCCAAGATTCTGTTGAGCAGCAAGAAAATTAATGTTTTAATATTCAAAATGACATGAAGGCAGTATTATTGTGATTACGAGGTGCCCAGTGAAACACTATTTATGATGAATCTCTCCCAAAAGAAAAATGAAAATGTTTAAAAATTCTGTATTCAGATTTGATACGTGAAATGTTAGAAATGTACAGGGTATATATGCTTGTTATTACCATTTAAATAAGTGCACTAGTTCATGAGAAATAGCTCCTCATGTTAACAAATCATTTAAAAGATCTGTAGATCCAGATCTGTCTAACTACTAACTTGGGCTATGACCTACATTTCTACCAAATTACACTAAAACTAGATTTTTCAGACAGACAGTAGCAATCAAACACAAAACAAAACCTCCTGGGCAGAGATCACTAGCTTACCTAACAGTGACGTAAAAAAACAACATTACAAGCTGGTTATATTATGCAACACGGGCAGGTTGTGGAGGGTTTATGGTTCAACAAACGGTGAGCACACACAGAACAGACACCTGATGTGTGTCGATCTCCGTATTCTACCCAGCGGCTCCACTCCGGGATGAAGGTACTGCGCGTCCTTGGGGTTGGTAATGAGCACTGCAGGCCACTGCTCAAACCTCAGATCAGAGAAACTCAGCAGGTCGTGGTCAAAGGCCAGAACCCTGTACCTGGAGACAGATGTGAAACTGGGGTTTCTGCAAAGTTCACCAAAGCGAAATTTAAGACTTTTTAAGACCTTTTAATACCACACAGAATGCAATTTATATACTGGCCATAACCGGGATGATGTGGCCCAGAATTTCAGTACTTCCAAACAGTATAAAACAATGATTCCTAATGATATAATTAATTAAATTAATGCAACCTGGATCCGGATAAATAACGATTAACTCATTTATGTTACCCTCGCCCATAATGAGTTGATGAGCTTCCTAACAGCAGCGACAACAAGTGATTGAACAGCCTCCTGTGTGCATAATCTGCTGTCCAAACAATCCCACTTTTAGTAGTTTATAGGCGTGTGATGTCTCCTGACAGCCCGCAATCAGATGCAAACACAACTGACATTAGTTGCTATGGCAGGAAAGAACATTTTTAGACCTTTTAATACCTTCCAGTTGCTTTTTTTTTCTTTTTTCAAGACTTGCAGATACGGTTGTGTGATTCTTTATTTCTGCGGTGGGATAAAAAACCAAATAATGAGGAGATATTTTGTGATCCTGTTGTTTTCCGTACCGGCGGTTGTCCATCCAGTCGCCCAGCTCCAGCTCCAGGGTGCCTTGGGGATGTCGGCTGTGGAGGACGGGCATCAGGCCGCCCAGTGTGTGCAGGTGGCCACACAAATAGGCAACTGCAGATCTAAGACACAAGAATGTAAAAAAAAAAAAAATACCAACAACTGCTTGACAACATTTAGAATATTCCTGAAAATGCATCTATCACGTCACATGTAACCATCACAACCGTGACTTGGATTTTAATATATTTGAACAGGAGGACTTTAAAACCAGCAGCCTTTGTGATATACATCTTGCCTGAAGGTCAAAAACTGCAGGCTCTTGAATGTTTGCACAATGACTTGAAGGACAAATATGCATTTACACACCCAGTTTAGAAAAAAAAAACTAAACTGGTTTAGCTTCTTACAGCAGTATTTTCTAACCTCATCATGTCCCGAACTCCCGGAGAAGGGGAGACGACGGTCGATGTTGTGTAGTGGCCAAACCAGATCGACTGGTTGCTTTTCAGACTCTCAGCTCTGAACGTGTCCAGCAAGTCCATCTGAGTCTGTGTATATATTGAGGAAAAAAACATTTATGTTCTCTTATATTTCATCATCTCCGGTGTGTAAGTGCTTTATTTATATATTATTATTATTATTATTTATTCCTATGAAGACAGAAAAAAGTGATTGTGAAACATGTTTACAGCACTGTTTACCATTTAAAGTACTGTATTCAGTACAACCTTCTATTTGCTTTTGTCTTTAATAAATTAGTAATAGCCACAATCCTAAATCAAATCTCCTCTAATCTTTAAAAGTAAAGCTTCTCCGCTTTCTGAAGTTAGTCACAAATTCAGCGAATGTTTATGTTCCGACAAGGGAAGGTGGGCGACGGCCGTACCTGGTTGAGAATACCAAAGAAATTGTACGGCCTCTTGGGTCCTGGAGTCAGGGTGGCATCCGCACAGACAAAAGAGTAGTTGCCAAAGGGAGTTTTGTGAACGTAGTGGAAAGAGCCGACTTTCTGATTAGCCGAGTACTTCCTAGAGAGGGATTGGAGGAGAATAGGAAAAAAAAGAGTCAACGTGAGCAACAAGATAATGTGGTCTGGGATGAAGCCAGCAGTTCCAATCCTAATAGGGTCCTGAGATAATTTAATGCATTTTAAATAAATAAATCAGGCTCGTACAGGAGGCAGACTCTGTCTCTCGCAGAGGATGACCGCAACATTAAGGGATATTCGTGGAGATGAAAGATCAATCAGCATTAACGGAGGTAGCGATGTCGCATAAAACATCGTTTGTGTCAGAATACGAGAGAGAGAGAGAGAGAGAGTCGGTCTGATCATGTGTAGATTCTGCTTCTATTTTGGTCCTCGGAGGGGCTCAGACAGCAGCTCGGGAGTATTGTAGGTCTGCAGCTGCTCATATTTCAGAGGCAGTGAAGTTACTATGTGCTCTGATCAACTTCAACCATTAATATAAAGACATGCAGGAGTAGGACTGTGAATCAGGACAAGCTCTGTAGTATTGACCTTTCCATACTGACCGGTAATAGTTGTTGATGCTGTCCAGTGACATAATATTGAAGGCATCTGTTAGGAGAAAACGAAAAAACTGTGAGATTAAGCAGAACGTAAAAGGAGAAGTGAAAAAAAAAAAAAAAAAAAAGAAGTGAGAAGACGACAGCTTTTAAGATTTACTGCTAAGGACCAAAATGTTTGATGAAGAGACTCCCCAGAGGAGCGACACATATTTAATCCAGGAATCAGATTTCTCCCCCTTTCGTGTCACAGAGAGATATCGAACAATATCTGCTGTTACATACACGCCAGATAACAGATAAAACTTGACAGGATGGACGTTAACTTTAAATCCAATAACCAGCTTTCTTCTTTCTTTTTTTTTTTTTTTTGGACAGCTGGAAAGTAAGGCTATCTTGTTTCACATCTAATAGCTTACGATCCAATAACAGAGGGAGAAGCAGCAGTGAAGAAAAACAGGGAGGGTTAGGGTGACTTCCTGTACTAAAATGCACCACAGTTAATGGATTCCTCAGAAAGTCCTAATTGTACACTCCCACGCCTAATTCAACCGTAACCAGTGAGTTTAGTCACCGTGATTTCCGCGGATGTCTATCCACCTGGTGCGCTCCATCACGCGTGACCTCTTCAGGACGTTGTGGTAGGCCTGCCACTCCACCTCGTGCTGGAGGGAGCCCACCTTGCTCTCTGTTTTAGCATCTGTCAGATCCCCTGTGGAGTGGAAGAGGATGCGCCTGAGAAATACATTTAGGAAGCCACACGAAGGAGGCCACACCCAGTCCGGCTTCCTTACAATACAAGGACTTTTTAAACTAGTTATAAGGTGTGTGTGTGTGTGTGTGGGGGGGGGGTTACTGTACCTGTTGCGAGCACTAGAGCTGGTTGGATCACTTCAACTGTGTCGGTGCAGAACTTTTCAAAATCTGGAATGCGTCTTGGGTCGTGAAATCGGCTAATGTGAATGTCAGACACCTTGAAACAGGCATAAAACAGGGAGAAAAACATGCATTAAAACACAGTCTTGGATCTGGCTTTTGTGTCTCTCTCTCTCTCTCTCTGTGTGTGTGTGGTGTGTGTGTGTGTGTGTGTGAGAGAGAGAGAGAGCTGTAAAGCACAAAAAAAAAAAAGGTTCAAAGTCTGACTACAACTTACCGAGCTGCTGAACCACCTTTTGACCTGACAATGACACACTTCTGTGGTCAGTGACCCCTTTCTGTCAATCATTCACAGAGAGTTCAGTAGGTGAACTACCATAAGCTAGGCTTCCTACAACAACACTGCAAAAAGCCAAAAAGGTAGATAACCCCCATTCATGTCAGATGTAACTAAAGATTGTGGCATTAAAACACGGAGATAACAGGTTGAAATGAGTCTGCTGCAAAGGACTACACAAAGCTAGCGTTAGACAGGGATGAAGCCCACCTGTATAAACCAGAATATATTGCTCAACTCGCCGCCGGGGAACGGTGGAGAGCTCCCCGTAGATCCACCTCCATCACCGGCAGTCGGGCGCTGAACGCTCCGCTTCGGGTGCCAAGCCGTGTCATAGCTGTCCAGCACCCAGGAGGTGATGCACGCCAGGGCCAGTCCGAGGATAACCAGCGCACCGAACAGCTTCAGCATCCTCCTGTAGTGGCGAGAGATTGGGGAGGGGAGGAGGAGGGGAGGGAGGAGGGGAGGGAAGCTAGCTGCCGCCGTTTGTCCCGGACAGAGAGGGAGAAAAAAAAAGCTAGCTGCTGGTGGAAGACTAAGCTAAGGGCACGAATCACACTAACATGTAACTACAGATGTGAAGTGTGAACCATTTGGCTACATGGCTAAGATCTCACGCTCAGACCGTTTCTGTCGCTGCCATCGCGGCCACGGGAGATGCATTGATGTGCGTGGGTTCATTCACGGCTCTCCGTTCAGCTGCCCTCGGAGGCGGAGGAGGTAACGTTAGCTCGGCAGCGGTACTAGCGGGTTCTTCAGCTAGCTACCAGCTACCAGCTACCAGCTACCAACACAGTGCCCGGTTGGATCGGGGGACGTCACCTTCGGATCAAAGACAGCGTGTGAACACAGAGCTCTCACTCTGAACGCGGAGCTCTCACTCTGAACGCGGAGCTCTCACTCTGAACGCGGAGCTCTCACTCTGAACGTTTTCTGGGGACTGAAATCGATCTCGAGCCTACTGCACCTGCTATCGCGAGAGGTTGCGGGAATAAGAAAACAACGGGAGGTGAGAATTATTATTATTATCGTTGTTGTTATTGTTGTTGTTATTGTTGTTGTTATGATTATTATTGTTGTTGTTAGTCTTATTATTATATTTTATTATTATTATATTCTAATCTGTTATTGTTGTTATTATTATGATGATGATTATTATCGTTGTTATGATTATTATTCTATTATTATTATTATTATTATTATTGTTGTCACTCTATTGTGTTATTATTATTGTTATTATTATTCTATTATGTTAATATTATTGTTGTTATTATTCTATTGTGTTATTATTACTGTTGTTATTCTATTGTGTTAGTATTATTATTATTATTATTGTTATGATTATTATTGTTGTTGTTATTATTATTCAAATTTATTATTATTATTATTATTATTATTCTATTTTATTCTAATCTGTTATTGTTGTTTTTATTATGATTATGTTGTTATTATTATTATTATTATTGTTATTATTATTATAATTATTGTTGTCATTCTATTGTGTTATTATTACTGTTGTTATTCTATTGTGTTATTATTGTTATTATTATTAGTAGTATTGTTTTATATTCTTATTTTTCTATTTTATTATTATTCTAGTGTTGATATTTTCTTGATTTGTTTGATATTTTCTTGATTTAATCATGTTATCATTTCTTAATGCTTTGTTACACTCATGCCAATAAAGCAAATTTAATTTAATTTAATAGACTGACAGTACTCTATTAACCACAATGGGGAACTTGCAGCGGAATCACATGGATTTATTCATTCTATTTGTAAGGGACCATGTTCAATATTAAACATAAATGTTACTCATAAAACAAGATATTAAAGAAACAGAAGGCAATATTACAGGATATATATAAACAAGATTTTTTAAATAGAGCATACCGTTAAGATAAACCTGAATTACACAGATTTGGTGTGCAGTTACAGTGCAGGGCAAATTATGAATGAATAATCCCACTTGTAATCTCATAAAAAGAGCAGTGGCAGACAGAGACATTTTAAAACTCAATTTAAAAGAACTGCGCGTTGGAGCAGACCTCAATATGTACTGGAAATACACAAAGATACTGCCACAGTAATATACTGTGCATTAGCACACAAAGGTAATACTGTGTATTACATTAAGGTGCTGGTTTGAGTTTTTATGGAATAAAATAGAATAAACTGTACATGGAGTGTATATATTTATATGTTTTTTTTTTTATAAAAAAAAAAAAAAAAAAAAAAAAAATTTTTTTTTTTTTTTTTTTTTTTTTTTTTTTTTTTTTTTTTTTTTTTTTTTTTTTTTTTTTTTTTTTTTTTTTTTTTTTTTTTTTTTTTTTTTTTTTTTTTTTTTTTTTTTTTTTTTTTTTTTTTTTTTTTTTTTTTTTTTTAAATTTTTTTTTTTTTTTTTTTTTTTTTTTTTTTTTTTTTTTTTTTTTTTTTTTTTTTTTTTTTTTAATTTTTTTTTTTTTTTTTTTAAAATTTTTATTTTTATTTTTTTTTTTTTTTTTTTTTTTTTTTTTTTTTTTTTTTTTTTTTTTTTTTATTTTTTTTTTTTTTTTTTTATTTTTTTTTTTTTTATTTTTTTTTTTTTTTTAATTTTTTTTTTTGTTTTTTATTTTTTTTTTTTTTTTTTTTTTTTTTTTTATAAAAAAAAAAATAAAAAATTAATTTATTTTTTTAAATTTAATTTTTTAATTTTTTAATTTTTTTGGTTGTTGTTTTTTTTTTTTTTTTTTTTTTTTTTTTTTCCCACCCATCCCATCCCTCCTTTTTTCCCCCCCCCCCCCCCTTTTTGTTTTTTTTTTTTTTTTTTTTTTTTTTTTTCTTTTTAAAATATTTTTACTTTATCCTCTAAAATTTTTTTTTTTTTTTATTTTTTTTTTTTTTTTAAAATTTTCTGGTTTTTTATTTTTCCACGTTTCTATAATAAAACATTAAAAAAAATGTTACTAAAAAAATAAATAAATAAAATAAAATAAAACACTCAAACGCTGGTTTGTGGCGATAGCGCACAGCCTCGCGCGTCGACCGTTAACCCGCGAACGAGCTTTAAAAGGACCCTCCGAAAGAGCGCGCGCGCCCGAGCTGTTGCGAGGGGCGATCGAATCGGGGCCGCGCGCGCAAGGCAAAGGCTTGATGATCATCACAGAGTCGTCACGTCACGGATCCGCAGCGACCGATAGAGATGCTGAGGTGACAGGCAGAAGGAGAAAAGGGACGACCACACTCAGACATATTCCCCCCGTCCGCTCGCTCGTTTGCCGCTAACCGCCGACTCGACCACCGCCGCCGCCGCCGCTTCCTATGGACGCTTCTCCCGCTATGGGATTCCGCTCGATGTCGCCGCCTCCAAACGTAGAGGATTTTTTCTAACCACACCCGGCTCTTCTTCGGATCAAGCATTGGCAGCAAAGACCCGAGGTAAGGATCCAGAATCCAGAGGCCGTGCTACGGCGCCCTCCTCCTCCTCCTCCTCCTCCTTCTTCCTCCTCTTCGCTTTCTACCAACCCCATAAGATCCCCATTCTTTGTCGCGCCTGCAGCTGCATGCGTTTGGGGTTTGTTGTCCCTGCTACGGTGTCGGGAGCATTTACAGCATACCCCTCCTACACGCCAGGGCCAGGGGATGAGGTTGCGTGTGGCCTGTGGACGGCCAAGTGTTCGTGGACGCGCCTGAGTAAATCTGCTGTGGCAACCAAAACTCGCTATGCAACAAGCCTGAAAAAAAAAACCAGTCAGTCCACTGCAGGGGGAGGATAGGTGAGGTGGTTTTAATTTTGCAGACCGGCATGGAAAATGCATTGTGACACTGCTGCAGCTCGCTACCTGTCACATCCCCCCCACTGGAAACAGCTCACCACAGGTATTTGTGTTTGCCTTCGTGCATTTGTTAAAACTGTGTTGTTGCACAACTGGGTCTTTAAAAATGACAAGTAATTACACCAAACCAGGTACTTCTCCTTTAAGGCTTTTATTATTATTATTATTATTATTATTATTATTATTATGCCAAGTAAACACACTGTCTCATTCTTTACAGTTGCATTCATGCTGTGACTTGAGGGTGGAGCCCACCCCCCACGCTGGCTCCTCAGGGCCTTGTCCTGCACACAAAGTTGTCAGACCACCAGACACTAATTTATTTCCTGCAGCAGTCCGACAAGTCTCCCTAGTTTGTTTTTTGTTGCCACCGAGCCAGGCCACACTCGGATTAGAGAGGAAATTATAAGCAGACGTTTGATTATCTGTCAGGTTTATTCTAATTGGAGCCACGTGGTAAGGCATATGCATGCATCGATGGTGTTTCTGGGGGTCAGAGTTTATTGGCTATCAATATTTATTGACACAACATCTCCAGATTTTAGTTTTAAGTGGAGGCACGGGAAGGGACCACTTTGACACTTTCATGATGCTCTGTGTGTCCTGCCGTAAACTCGCAGCTTCCAAGCAAGACCAAACAGGGGCAGAGGCGACAGCAAAGCTGCAGTCAGCAGATGAAAATGGCACTGCACCATCGTCGCCATGGAGACGTGGAGGTCAGGAAGCGTGATTCATGATGAGACAGACCCCTAGCTGTCATAAATTGGTTTAATTTTTTGGTCCAAGGTCTGCTCCTCATGGGCTGTTTCTCTTCTTTTTCTCTCTCCATTGATGGTGTGTGTTTTTTTTTTTTTTATGTATGAAGGAGGAGGAGGAAGAGGAGGAGGAAGAGCAGAGCCTCTGTGAGGTGTGAGATTAGTCACAGCGTGAGGCAGCCGAGCTCGTACATAGGAGTGTGTGTGTGTGTGTGTGTGTGTGTGTGTGTGTGTGCACTTCTGCGTGTTTTTGAGTGCATTTGTGTGTTGGAGAAGTGTCTTAAGCCCTGTTACATGCAGTGTACTGGCTGATAGCATCATTCCTGGTATTCTCACACACTCTGAGGTTGTGTTTGAGGGATAAAAGTAAAGGTACAAGTTGGTACAGACTTATTGTCTGTATAGTTTGGCTAACAGAGACTTCCGGAAACATCCATCCCTTCTTCCGTATCTTCCAGCGGTCTGTCAGAAGTGTTTTTCTCATCCCTTGAACACATTAGAAACAAATCAGTCACTCAGAAAGGATGTCTCACGGATGATAGCTCGGATGTGAAAAAAGTCGAGGAAAACACTAGAACATGGTGTGACCTTGGAAGGTCTGACACAGCGCTCACACAGCAGAGGTTATTTAATCAGTGTTTACGGTGTACTCTCTCTCATCCCTCCAGGTTAAAAGGGGGGTTTTGTTGTACAGCTTGTTTCCTCTGTGTGTGTGTGTGTGTGTGTGTGTGTGTGTGTTGTGTCGTCGCCAATTAGCATAGCATCAAGAATCCCACTGATGTTGTTCCACTTTGTTTTTCACTCTGTGCGTACAAAGATTTGCACGACGCTCAGACGCTGCACAGGAGGAAACATTACAGGTTTTTAGTGCCTGACATTAACTTAAATTGTTTGGCGAGTTTTTTTGGGAAAAATCCCTTCATTAAACATCTTCAATGCATCATCAGTGGTTGTTAAACCTAATGATTCCAAGCAGCATACTTTTTAAAAAAACTAAAAATAGAACAAACACTTAAATAACTAAACAAAACTAAAATATATGTGAGATTAAATTGACTTTCTTAAGGATTTAAAGGAGATTTTTCCAAGTCCAGAGTGTTCCAAGAGTGTAAAATCTACCTACAATCAAAATGTAATTACACAATAAAACAGTTTTGTATGAAAACACCAGACTTAACAGTATAATATTCAAAAACAGGTATTTCATTCTTTGTAACTAACTACTCATTCTGTCCCAAAACAACATTATACAAATACATACATACATTACTATGTACTTTGATGAGAGTCTGGTTCAGCTTTGGGCAGTATGATTTTAAAGACGTGTGTTGGTCAAACGTTTAGTTCCCTTCAACTCCTGCGATATCAGTCCGCTGATCGGTCCAGAATGAAGTATCTCAACTCCCATAATGCCATACTGTCTAATAAAAGACAGTATGGCGTTCTGAAACGTCACTATAATAACATTAATTCACCATATAGTGTGTATAGTTTATTAATGGTAAATTGTAAATGATGGCACAGCATCAGGAGCAATCTGAGGTTCAGTGTCTTGCTCAAGGACACTTCAGCACGCAGCAGGATGACCTTGTGAGTAGTGGACGCGCCGATATAAATATTAAACATACATATAAAAGTCTTAATCTTAACCTTGAATTGTCAGTGTCCAGACATTAGGGTCGGCAATGATAATAAACAGTAACTAAATGCTAAAAGAACACAGTTCAAAGGCTATTAGAGGAATAGTATGTCTTAAGAAGAGATTTATAATCCGCAGACATCTCGTCCAGTAGTCATCTTACTCCAGAGTTTTAACCCTGGGTCACATTTCATGCTTGTCATTTCACAGTTATCTAGTCCAACCACGCTTTTCCCCTCTTCCAATCTCCCAACGTCACCCTGGTGCATGATGGGATTGATTGCCTCCTTGATGTCGGGATCATGCCCTGTAACCAAATAGTGTTTTGAAGGCCCGTTGCATAACGCGTAGATGCCTGCGCGCCGTGTGCAGAATGATGAATCGAAGTCGGGCTTTGCTGTGAGTGTTTGAAGCCAGACTAAAGGAAGTTACCAGCATGTGCTCTCCCGAGAAATACCTATTTATGACACGGATGTTGTATAATGCAGGAGACACAGCTTAACTAGGGGGAAACTCATTGTACAGACAGCTTGCTTTTAATGTAAAGGAGGCATGTGCTACATGGCAGTAAATGTATTGGTACCACCTTTTTCCCCTTTATGAAGGTAACCAGTGGCTTTATTAAATAATAATGTAATAATGCTTAATAAATCAGTTATAAACCATAAATAAGAACAACCTGCAGAGAATCTGGACAACCTATTAACCTGTATAAAAGTGTGTAACACACAAGTATTTATTAACGTAATAACAGTCTATTACTACCAAATAAGTTTACTAAATTAGGCTTTAGTAAATAATTGTCCATTAATACAGACCTTTGATTGTAGGTCTTGAATTCAGAATAAAAGTAAAATTCTCTTACAAAATGCTATCTGAAGCAGGTAAATTAAACTTATACAGTTCAATATGATGAACCATCAATGTATTTATATAAAACACATGCTACAACAATGCTTTATAATGCAAAGGATGAGGAAAAGATGCTGTTACACAAGCAGAGCTCATCATCCTAATGCTAAATTAGGCAGATTAAACAGTCTCGTTATATCTGACAAAAGTTGTACTACTTTTCTTCATAAGACCTGCTCCTTGGCTGTCATACGCAAGAAGATAAATGGCTGGGGGAAAATGATGCTATGATGAAGCCTTTTTGTAATTTAAGACGCAGGACTTATGCCCGCGAGCTGGTGGGGTAGAATTTGTCTAGAGAGACAGCTGCTGGCAGCAGGTGTGGCAGCTGCAGTGATGGTCGAGTATCAGAGTGCTCCAGCCATTAAGCCAGGGGTTTAACTTTGTCTCTCAACTTGGGGGGGGGGGGGGCATTGAAACTTTGATATGAAGTTCAACCCGGCCTAAAAACACTGGCCTTTGGCATATTCAACTCTATGAAACCTCCTTGCTCAACACCCAAGAACATGAGCTAAAGATGCTGAAGTTATCAGTTTGTGCACACTAGCTTAAATACCCAGAATTCAATCGATTTCCTTAAGATTTATTCCTGAGCGTCTGACAGTTTTGTGTCTCTTCCGTAGGGTTCTCCATCAAGGTCCAAATGCCCGGCCCAGTCTGAGACGGCTGGTCGAGGTGGGGAAGCAGTGAGGACAGCGTCCCTGGTCCACAGACGGGATGAGCGGGGGAGCGGAGCAAGCTGACATCCTGAGCGTGCTCTCCCTGGTCAAGGAACGATGGAAAGTGGTAAGTGGCGTGTTATACATTCGACAATAGGCAGCGTGTTTGTCCAGCCCCGTCACTGCCTGTCCCTAGCTCGCCCTCTGTCCTACAAACAGCGACTCTTTGTTCGTCAAACAATGCTTTCCCCCTGCCTATGAGTCCTTCTGCTTGCTTCTAAAGCGTCTCACCTGTGGCTTGGACAGTTTGGGGTTGTGTCTCTCTGTCCAGGTTGGGCTGCTGCAGTATGGGAGATCCAAAAATAGCCTGTATAGCTATTTGTGGCAGTGCAGTGTGCTATAGGCAGCAGCAGCAGTGTTCCCCGAGGGCCTATGTCTCTCACTGCTGTGCCAGCCTGGGTGCCATGTGAGGCTGTTATTCCTAACTGGCAGCCTGGCACCGCTTCCTGTCTTCTAAGGAGCAGAGTTACATAAGAATGCTGCAGCTAATCCCACGACTTTAGCTCCTAGTGCGACACAAGACTCTGTGTGTGTGTGTGTGTGTGTGTGTGTGTGTGTGTGTGTGTATGTGTGCATGGAGGACGGCGAAGGACACGTGGGAACTTAAAGCTGTGCTAGTACTGAGAGTTGAGAGCGAAACGGCAGAACAGTTGGGGGCAGTTTGACAGAGTGAAGAGAGCATCTTGGAATGAATCACATACTTCTTGGTGTCATATTTGTTGAGAAAACTGTGCAGCCATTTTTGCCTGCCACGCTATCAGACCCATGTACAGCGGTTATTTACAGTTGAGCTAATTACCTAGTCACATTTATTCCTGTGAGGTCAGAACTGAAATGATTAATCAATTAGCCGACCTACACAGAAATAATCAGCAACTATTTTGAGCACTTACTAATGTGATAGTTCATCTCTCTCAGCTGAAATGTCAAACAGCTCCTCAAGTGTGATTATTTTCAGTTCTTCTTTCTCTTTTGTGGTAGTAAACTGAGTATGTTGGGGGGTTTCAGACTGTAAGTTGAAAACCACATTCAGCTTTATGGAACTTTCCCTTTTTCATCAAGAAGATTCAAGTCAAAAGAAATCGGTAATGAAAATAATAATTTCCTTGCAGCCCTACTGTCATGTAACCAAAAAAGGAGGTTTCATGAATACTCATCTCATGAACCGAAGTCACAAAATAAAATGCACTGATACAGTCAAAAATAGGTTGAAAGGATATTCTAAAGCTAAGAAAATGCTCATTTTATCACAGCAGACCATATTAATCCCTTTCGTTGCTTCTTAAAAAAACGAATTTGGAGATTCTCATTTAAACTATCTGGATAAAGTACTGAAGTAATTTATCCAATTGGCCTCCTGTTGCAGTAGCCTTTTATAATATTTCAATATTGGCTGCTATCCCAATCAGAAACAGTTTTGTTTTTTTCTAGATTTCACAAATGCATAAACTCTTTACCCTTTACCACTCAACCCCCGCCTTTGAAGAGAGGGCCCAACTCTGAAAGCAACGTCTTGATATTTTTTGGAAACATTCCTGCAAGTAGAAGAGCTTAAGTTCTTTTTGTGCAGCCCTTTCTCTATTTTTAATTCCTGTGCATTGCCTGTATTTGAGCAGCACACAAATGAATTGCACTGGAGGACCTCTGATTTTTTCATTCATTGCATGGCCTATTTTAGATTGTTATACATAAAGATTTTAAGGATTTCTTAAGCTGTTGGACTGCCAGCTTTGAGGGATGAAAGGGACACACTATATCTTTAAGGTGTCTGTTGAATAATCTCCCATGCGTTGTACTTGGATCACTTTTACAACAGGGTTCAGTTCCTTTTGAAAATAACCACAATGAGTTTAATCTATCAATACATATATATATATATATATATATATATATATATATATATATATATATATATATTATGTTCATATTCAGCAGTCTGTGAAAGTTCTACAGTGTGTGTCCATATGTAGTGCAGGCTTTATATAAACATTAGATTTTTGGTTTATTTTTATAACAAACAATACAAAATTAAATATAGTTGTGCATAGTGCTAGTAGAGTCATTTAAATTAACTCCTTCATGCCCACATTGCCATGGTGACACTGATGTCACCAGAGGAGGCCATCTGATTTGATATTGATAATGACCTCTAACCTCACCGAAAAATAAAAAATAAGCACCAAACCTTCCTGTCAGATGGACAGTTTCAAGCCTTTAGATGAAAACATTTCTCTCCTGCTGTCTTTGAGCAAACGTTTTGGAGGATGTCCTGTTACTGACTGCGGAGAGAGAAAAATCTTTCTTGTGTTAACCTTCCCATGTTTTATAAATGTGCATCTCACTGTCCATGCACACCGCATACAGGCTGTAAATGTAGGTCTTCAATCTCCCTCCAGGCGAAGAAGATTGGGGGTGGCGGGTTTGGGGAGATCTACGAGGCGGTGGACCTGCTGACGCGGATCAATGTGGCGCTGAAGGTGGAGTCGGCCCAGCAGCCCAAACAGGTCCTCAAGATGGAGGTCGCCGTGCTCAAGAAGCTCCAGGGTGAGTCGAAAATGGATTCAGTGGATTTGGTTACATTTCGGGAAACTTGATTGATCCTCCCTGGCACATGTGACCTATTGATTCGCCCCAAAAGAGGATACAGCGTGTAGCATTAGCATTCCTGGCTGGAAAAAAACAAAGTGAAATATTTCCTGTCAGTAATTTCTCCCTGATTGATAGAACAAACAGACCAATCCAGGAAATGTCACACTAGCAGAAAACGCAGGGATAGCCTTTGTGCATCGATAGGAGCGTGTAATAATCTCCCCCTCTGGAGACCAGATATAGATCATCTGACTCATCTGAAAACACAATTTGGCCCAGGGTTCAGCTCAGTTTGCTTCAGTCTCCGCAGTGTAAAACACACGGTCATTCAGCAGGAACAGCAGAGAAATCGTTCTGTGCATCTTGTGTTTTAATTGTGATTTTAAGTGTTAATGTGAAAGTTTTTCCAGACGACAGCAACAGAAGAGAGAGAGAGTAGCAGTACGAGAGGAAGTGAATGTTTGTGTGCCGGGACACTCCCTACGTCTCAGAGCAGAGACGCAGGATCAACACAAGGGGGGGGGGGGGGGTGTTGGTGTATAGTCTTTCTCTTTTTTTTAACTCTGTCTTTTTCCTCCCTTCTTTCTTCCTGCTTTAAAACCACTATGCCCTTTTTCTTTTGGCCTTCTGAGAGGAAAATCAATGACCTAGGATCATGTTTGCTGTCTAATGGCTGCGGCATGGGGCATCATGGGTCTGTTGCTTCCTGAGGGAACCAGCATGTAATATGAGACGAGCTCAACTCCAGGCCCCCCCCCCACAAACATTGCTGACCAGTCCAGCTGTAAAGAGTAAACATCCACCCATGGCCTTAAAGGAGGGCTTAAGGGTCATATTAAGCTAAAAATTGCTTCATTTGTGTACTAATTGGATTATTTTGATTTATTTTATAAGAATTTGGTGAAAGTAAGCGACCCAGTAACTGTTCTTAACAATTTGCATTCACTGTGCACTGTCTGGGGTGTGGCCGCAGTCAAGCTGCCAGTGCGGCAATGTCCTTTGAGACCAGACACACACACTCACACAAGGCATTCATGCACACGTGTAGACGGGTGTTGTGTGCTATAGCCTATAAATCAGCAGGGTAGTCACACGGGGAAGCTGCTGATGGGGGAGAAGTGAGCTGTAGTGACTGGAGAGGGAAGGGCAGGGAAATATGGACACACACATCATCATGATTTACACGCAGCATGCCACATCTTATGATCGAATGATGCAGCTTGACGTCAGGTGACCTCATCTTCTCATCTGAAAATATCCTGAAACTCTCGTCTCCTCCTGTTATTTCTTAGGTAAAGACCATGTGTGTCGCTTTGTGGGATGCGGCCGCAACGACCGCTTTAACTACGTGGTGATGGAGCTGCAGGTTGGTCTACATGCAGAAGACTTAATTCCTCATGAGTCAGCAGAGCTTTTTTGCTGTTTTACATAACTAGAAATGGAATATTTTTGGGCTTTAGACTGTCGGTTGTACAAAACAAGCTATTAAAGCCATATTGACTGACCAGAAGATGGACTGACATTTACCATCCTACGCTGCTAGTGTGAAAATATTTATAGCAACAGTACTCTCCATGTAGAGATTCAGGCAACGCTACTGTTCACACACTACAACACCTGCTGTGATCTACTGAGGCATCAAGTTAGTGTTAATCACTGCACCCAGTGCACAAGGCTGTAATATTAAAGTCATCACCACAAATCTGAATTTGATGATAGATGAGCTTTGAGTGTTTTGAAAATGTGGTCTGGTTGTGATTTAAACACACAGGGATGGTCCAGACCACACCATGTGTTTGATTATAGATGATCAGTGCAGCTGAATTCTTTTTTAGTTTCTGCACTTTTTGGCTTGTTTTCTGTCCACTAAACATATTTGGCTGTCACCACTGTCAACCATTTCAGTCAGTTAAATGTTTTCCAACTACAGTGTATTGCTTCCAAAAGAGAACTAGATAAATAAGTTTAGTATTTTTGTCCTTTTGTGACTCGATTGTTTGGACAGACAGAGGTCCTGCTGTGTTCCTGAAGCAGGAAGTTTCCCTCTTTACTAGCTGATCTCATACACGTGCTTTCTCAGGGTCGTAACCTGGCTGACCTGAGGAGGAGTATGAACCGGGGAACCTTCAGCATCAGCACCACCCTGCGTCTGGGGCGCCAGATCCTGGAGGCCATAGAGAGCATCCACTCTGTCGGCTTCCTGCATCGTGACATCAAACCGGTGAGTCACAGCTAGCTCGGTGCAGCAGAGGATATTTAATGCTTGGTTCTCATTTCATTACCTTATGTCCCTTCTATATATTCCCGACGACACAAGGGAATGTTTTTTATTATCTATTGTCTGGGTAGTGTTTGTGAGTCTTGCACTTTTTATTATTGGCTGCTAGTATTGTTGCTGATGCAGTATTTTATATTTTGACTGTTGCACTTACAGTAAGTTGGCTCACTATGTGTGTTGGCGTAATGCCCAAATGTAGCAGAATGTAAATATCTTCTGTCTACTGAGCTTCTGTATTAAATCATATTCCACCATAGGAACACATTTTATCCCCTGTGGCTACATGCACATAAATAAACATAACATTTTACTCACATATATTTTTGGTATAATTTTATTATTCTTTTAACCATTTCCTCCTGTTTTTAATTTGATCCAGTCCAATTTTGCAATGGGCCGCTTCCCGAGTACCTGTCGAACCTGCTACATGCTGGACTTTGGTTTAGCTCGCCAGTTCACCAACTCTTGCCAGGAGGTCCGACCTGTAAGTGCCCCTCCTCTGTTAAGTATCTAGTGAGCTTAAGGCTGCACTTTTCAATATTTTTATATGTATAATGTTAGAAGTGGCAATAGAGGGCCAGAAAGTATATGTTTTCTTTTAATTTTATTGTGTTTTTTGGCTAAAATTCTTTAATTAAATTACATTAATTTGAGTATTTAATGGCTGTTGCTGTCTATGTTTGTCAGCCCCGTCCAGTGGCAGGGTTCAGGGGAACAGTCCGCTATGCATCTGTCAATGCACATAAAAATAAGGTCAGTATTCATCCACCCTGTGCTAGAGCTGTTGTGTTATCTATCATGCTGCCCTAAACACGTCTATTTATGGGCATTACTTTCTCCTTTTATTGATTAATGTGAACTCAACCCGGGTTTAATTATGCAGGAGATGGGTCGGCATGATGACCTGTGGTCTCTCTTCTACATGCTGGTGGAGTTTCTGGTGGGTCAGTTGCCGTGGCGGAAGATCAAGGACAAAGTAAGGACAACCAGTAATTATTGACCTCCTGGGAAACTAAACAGCCCTGTCCAGGTAGCCGTAAGTAAGGAGATGTGACAGGTGTGTGTGTGTTTGTTCATTCCCAGGAACATGTTGGGAAGCTGAAGGACACTTATGACCATCGTCTGATGCTCAAACACCTGCCGGCAGAGTTTGGTGTGTTCTTGGAACACATCTCCACCCTTGACTACTTCACTAAGCCAGACTATCAGGTGACCCATGGGTTTAATTTGGATTTAATAAAAAAAAAATGTTTTTTTGACTACACAGGAGTGCTGGTTTCTGCATCTTTTAATATAGTTAGACATTTCTCCTAAGCAAAATGTTCTGTATATGATCTGGAAAGGTCGGCTAAAGCTGATGTGATGTGTTATGTGCCTGTCTAGCAAACTTTAAAACCCATTTTCTGTGGAATCTCACTTAATAAAAGCTCATAAAAAGGTTAATTATGTATTTTTGTGTTGTTATAGCTGCTGATGTCAGTGTTCGACAACAGCATGAAAACCTACAATGTCGTGGAGAATGACATTTATGACTGGGAGCGGACCAGCACAGATGGCACTTTGACGATCAGTGCCACTGCCACAACACCGCAACATCACACCCGCCTCACTCCTGCACACATGGGGTACTTTTGATCGAAAAACACCATAAACGTGACTAGACATGGTTGAAATTGAGCAGTATAGGTGGTTACCTGTACTGTCCTTTATAGCCTCAAATATGAATTAATGTTTGTACCTTTTGTTGCCCCAGTATGGCGAATGCCTCCTTGATCCCTGGCGACCTGCAGAGGGAAAACACAGACGAGGTTCTGCAGGACGAGCAGCTCAGCGATGTGGAGAACAACCCCGCTCCAGAGCGCCTACCGGGCTCTCCCCTCCATCCACACCGCAACCAGGAGGCTGATGTCTGGGAGGAGCTGGACCGCAACCGTAACCGCATCAGGACGGCAGTGTGGAAGGTAGACTACAGTATAGTTTCATCACCTCAGGCGCTCTCAGAGAATTGATACCTCAGCTGAAATCTTCCCTTTTTTAAATTAATTGATTATCAGTCATTAACAAATCTGGCTGGTTTCCATAGGCGGCAACGGAGGAGGAACACAGCAACAACCAGGGTAACCAAGAACACCAGAGCCCCTATGCTGGGCCAAGCCTGGGCTCTCCAGTCAAACTGCACTCTGAGGTGGCGGCTTCAGACCGTGATGGCCCTATGCTGAGGAAGCTTCGCAACATTCACAGCTTTGAGCTGGAAAGGAGGCTTGGCCTGGAGTCCAAGCCCAGTCCTGAGCGCTTTTTGGAGGCCAGGTATGTCTGTCAAGTAGCCGATCCATCTAAATTAACATCAGTTTTTTTCTAAATGTTTCAAAGGAGAGGAGAGTAAAGAATTGATTGTTTGCATCTGTCTTGTGTCTCTTCAGCTCAGCAAAGCAGCAGCTTGGCACCCAGCACCAGGACAAAGAGGCTGACGGTGCTGCAATCATCCCAGTAACTCAGGGTCAAGCTGTACCTGCCGGGGATCGTCCTGATAGGGTCTGGCACTATGATGAGGAGTTCCGGTCTGGTGGTGGTTCTCCTAAGCCAGCATCCTCTGGATCTCAGGAGCAGGGAGAGGGGGCAGTTAGCAGTGGGGGGTTTGTGGCCCTCAATCTGAGCTCTGGGAGGCAAGACATTGACTCGAGGGAGTGGGTAATGGTGGAGCGGCCCTGTGGCTCTCCAGGAGCCAAGGCTACCCCCAGCCCTTCGGAGGAGGATGAGGAACCAGAGGTGCTCCAGCCAGGGGAACAGTCTCCTGGATGGGAAAAGGGCAGCCCAGGCCCTAGCTCTGGCAAAGCTAAACAAGAAAGTATGGCTTCCTCCAAGGGAAGTGCAAAAGTGGACAAGTTGGAGCTCAGTGTGGGCCCTGCAGGGGCCCTGCCCCCCGTCACTCCGACCAGCCCAGCTGAAGCTCTGGCTGAGGGAGTTCTCACTCAGGTAAGCACTTTCATTTGAAGGCCATCTCACAACATGGCATACATTAAACTGACTGTAGTCAGCATTTTACAAAGTTAAAAAGCTGCACAGAGTTCTAGCCGTAGAACCTCAATGCTAATATCATACAACAGTCAGAGTTCCACCAGCTGCATCTTGCTGTAGTGTGAAGCTAAATGTTACTGCTTTGTGTTTTCTCGCTTCTTTGCTTGTGTTTACTTGTTAGAAAAAGACATTTGTGTCACAACTGAGCTTTTTATCAGATCACAGCATGGGGAAAAAGAGAGCTTTTGGCTTTGAAATGCACTTTGATTTGCATTAGATATCACGCACAATTTTATCTTATTTTCAGATATTTGCAATGTGTTTGGTTGGTTTTATTTACTTCACAAATTAAATGATTTACTTCCAAAATATGCTTTCATTTGCTTAGTTTAAATTACTTTTTTCTCCTTTGCTATTTATTACCTTCAACCAGCCCATCGAGTCGAATGCCAAAAATTCTACTCAATCTACGAGTTGGACATAAACCGCTTTTACTCAAATTGTAGTGCAGCTTTGTTCCCTACAAGCAGAATAACTGTCCCCTCACTCTCTCCTACAACCAGAACAACTGCCTCCAAGTTGAAAATGTACACAGCCTTCCCAAATTCTTCTATCTCGCCTCTGTCTTCCTTCCCTAGCCTAAGACCATCCCCTTATCTCTAAATCCTCCCGTCGCTTTACCTATTCAAAACAACTCTCCCGTCGTGCTCCCCCACCGCTGCAACCTCGCAGTACTTCCACCATACTTCCTTCCTACACCTCCCTCACCAATCTCACAACCCCTCCTCTCTCCACCTCCTACTTCTCTCCTTCCCGTCTCTTAGCTCCCCACCTCTCCTCCATCCCTGCCTGAGGAGGTTGCGGCCCGGACATGCAGCCCCATCCCTCTGCGCTCTCCCAGCCCACACACTCTCCTGACCACCTTGTCGGACCCGCTGCACCTGCGCCAGCCGCCGGGCCTGAGGCGCAGCCAGTCCGCCGACCAACAGCAGCAGGAGCGCCCCTCCTCTTCCTCCTCCTGCCACGCCTCCCTACCACTACCACCAAACCCTGCCCCCGGCACCCGCTCGCCCAGTCGTAGGAAACTGCCGGCCATCCCAGCGGGTGCTGCCAACGCCAAGTTTCCCTCTGTCATACGTATCACCCGTGCCCAGCTCCAGCAGGTGATGAGCCACATCACGAATCCCGTAAAAAAAAAAAAAAAAACAGACCTCCATTCAGCTTCGTCTACATCCTTAGCAATTACACCGGCTGTCAACATTTTTATTCTTTCTTCTTTTGCTTTTGTTTAAGTTGCTTATTTTGGCTTCTTTGTTTCGTTGGCTTGCTTTTTGTGTTGTTGTCAGGCAGCTCTCTCCAGAAACCATGAGGGGCATTGTGCAGGCCAGACAGAGCATGGGTCAGATGTGTCCTTGTGTCTGGACATGTGTTCTTGTGATCTGAATAGGGGTGTGTGTTTGTCTGATTGTGGCATGTGTGTTTGGAATGTCGAGTCATGACTACAGGTTGCATGGTCTCTTTTGTTTCAGATCGTCTTTGTCCTCTCTATCTTTCTCTTTCTCTCTCTCTCCCTGTATTTGTTCCTCACCCTCTCTTCGCTGAAGCCCCCTGCGAAGTTGCGTGAACGTTTCCTGTTCTACTTGCTGGTTTAGTACTCACAGCTTGACTGACACTGCCATAGCACTTGTGTGTTTCGGTCTGATAATGGTAGCTATGGTATTGCATGCTGTTGCCAAACTAATCACCATTTATTACCCCATATTATACAATTCTCCCCTTTTCACACACTGCATCAGGCTCTTGCTACAGAACTACAGCACAACTCGACATGTTGTAGTCTATCAGCAACAGGCCTTTGACAATTGGAATATTATTCCCATTTTTAGTATGGTTTATTTTTTTAAATAACACCTGTGTTTCTTTCTCTTCCCTCCCATCTTTCCACTTCCCCCTCCCCTCCAGTTGACAGCTCAGCGTCCCTCTGGGCTGTCCTCCCAGTCAGGATCAGACAGTGCCCCACAGTGCCTCCTGCTAGAGAGGCGTGGTGAGGCTGAAGCTGAGGCTCAGCAGGTCCAGGAGCACACAGTGGACATCAGCTCCCCCCAGGACCATGTGCCCACTCATCCAGGGACACCCACAGACCCCCTGGCTGAGACGCTGGTCAATGGAAACAACCACACTAAAGCTCCAAGCCCTGTGCCAAGCCGCATGTCTTCTCCGCGTTCTCCTCGCTCGCCTCCTCCACGTTCGCCTTCCTCTCCACGCTCTCCACACTCTCCTCGCTCCCCTCGCAGTCCTATGTTTGCCAATGGCCACTTCTCCCCTCCTGCTAACGGCCAAAGAGATTTCAGTTATGGAGCATTCCCCAAGCTGAAAGACCCTGAGAACGATTATGGCCACATTCCCTGTTCCACAGAGCCTCAGCTAAGGGCGGAAGAGAGCAGAGGAGTGAACCAGGCCCCAGATCAGACCAGTGGCCCGGTCTCCTCCTCCCCAGTTGCCCCCCGTAAGGACCCTAGCCGGAGGCAAAGTCGCATCCCAGTCCTTGAGCCCTCCAGCCTGCTGGAGCTCCCTCCTCCAGGGTCTGCTAAGGAGAAACTCCTTCAGAAGAAAGCCAGTCACCATGGCCCGGTCCCCTCTCCCACTGCCTCACCATCCCTCTCTGATAGGCGTGGCCCCATGATGGCCTCACTTGCCAGGGACCCGCTGTCCTCCGCCTCTGACCGCTCCCAGGACGAGGACTCTCTTATGGGCTCCCGTTCTGACCGCCAGGGAGACGATGCCCCTTCCCTCTCCTCCTCCTCCAGCCCTCTGTCCCGCAAGAGCAGGATCCCTCGTCCTGTTCATCCGGCTTCCTCAGCTGAGCAGCTGGCTGCCCAATACCTGCCACGCCCACCCCCTGGAAAGCCACCTTGCCGCCCCACAGTGGAGGGCAGGTAAATTATTGATCAGCATTTTTTGCTTTCATGGATCAAAAATTTTACAATTAATCAGTAACTCAAAGTGTTTATGATAAACAGCGTGAAAGAAACAGCATGAAGACATGAAAAAAAAACATAAAATTACTTGCTGATTTAATCAATTGTTGTACATTTTGGGAAATTTGCTTATTTGCTTTCTTGCCGATAGTGAGATGAGAAAATTGACCTGTCATGTCCGTACGCTAAATATGAAGCCAGAGCCAGGAGGTGGTTAGCTTAGCTTAGCATAAACACTGAAAGCAGGGGGAAACAGCTAGCCTGGCTCGGTCCAAGGGTAAAAGAAATCTGCCTACCAGCACTAAACTTTACTAATTAACAGTGCCTAAGAGTACAATGTGTCATGGCCGAGTTCTTACTGCAGTGGCCCTGGTTTGAATGTGGTCCATGTCATCCTCTCTCTCTACTGTCCTGTCGAAATAAAGTGACATGCCAAAAAAAAACAAAACCCACAGCTTGTTTTTACATTACTGTTTGTGTACACTTTAAAAAAAGAGAGATATAAAGTGTTAATTAGTCAAATTTAGAGGCGATGGAAGTTTTGGACAGAGACAGGTTAGCTGTTTCTGCCAGTCTTTATGCAAAGCTAACCACCTGCTGACTGGCAGAGCTTAGGAGAGTGATATTGATCCTTTCATCTAACACTTGGCAAGAAATATGATTCATCAACATGTTTCTTGGTTTGCTTTGAAATATATGACTTGGCAGTTGTTCATAACCTGCCCTGCTTTTTGTACCCACTTAGGCTTAGGCGTTACCGCATCCGAGCTGGCAGCACCAGTGACTCAGACCTCCTGACATGCCTTGCTCAGCTGATGCATGGTTCCCGAGGCTCCCCCCTTCATCACCGCTCCTCAGCACAGCACGGGGGGTCCAGGATGGGCATCTGCAGCCTAACGAGCTCTCCGCACCACCACCGCAGCTCTAGCGCATCCCCGCGCAGCTCCTCCTCCCTGCAGCGCTCCGTCAGCTCCTCGCCCTCCCGCCACGAGCACCGTGGCGGCGGGGGAGGGAGTTGCCTGGGCCGCAGCCGCTCTCCTCCCAGCTTCTCTGGCTCGCCGCCTCCCCGCCGCTTCTATCCTCACCACCAGGAGACTTGCTGCAGCCGCCAGGCCCGCACTGGCCTATTCCACCTGTCTAGGGGAAAAGCCTGTAGCCGAGAGGGCAAGTGCTCCAGCAAGCTGAGCAGATAGTTGCCCACCAGCTTGTGTTGCCACAGCAGAGGATGGGAAGACTCCAACTATGATAGGGCAGGTTCAGTAAAAGCCTGAGTCTTCCTGTATAATTAGAAAAAAAATCGTGTTTCTCTTTTTCCGCTGTCAGTCTGAACCTTACACTTGTCTCGTCGTTTCCCACTGTTCTCTTTACTCCTTCTATTTGCACACAGGGTTTGTCATTTATTTATGTGCCCAGCTTGAAAAGGGTACTTGGAATTGCACTTCCATAAAGTTGTTGGACTTCTTGAAGAATGGTCAAAATCTGTGCAGCTGAAGCTGAGATATCTGGATTTTTAGTCTGTTATGCCCCAAAAACCTCATCACATCCTCTCTATCTCAGAAGCGCCCACTTGTTTCAAACCCCACACCTCCAGTTTGTAATGAAGCCTTTCTGTTAAATATTTTTTAAATCTCAAGCTAATCTATTTAATTGGTGCAGTGCCCCTTTATGATGTATATGATAAGCGATATTGACATGTCATACCATTTTATTTATATTATTACATTGTAGAGAAAAATAATATAGCTGCAATATTAAACAACGATTTCCCAATGCAGGCAGTACTGTAATACATACATCAATAGCTAGATGGGCCAGTGGACACATAAGTGAAACAATTTCCTGTTTATTCATCTTCATCTATCCTGCACCACAATATAATGTAACTTACGTATCCCCAGTATTAATGCACTTGGATCATACTGATATGACATCAGTATAGCTGATCACAGCTTAATTAAATATTGGCCTGGGGTTGACTCAGTTATCTCCTCTGTATTTGGAGATTGCAGGCAGGGTATAATATTTACTTTATGCGATATGTGAATGCATAAAACCAGAATTTGTGTACAGTTGTATTTATTGAGATATTTATTTTGATGCTTAGCAACGCTTTTTTGACTCCTACCCTCTTCTGTGTGATAGTGGATGTATGGTTTTGTGTCACTCACATTAGTTTTAAATGTTTAATCGAAGGGATCGCTCCAAAGTGACCCCTTTTATACAATCAATCGTGTAAAGTGCGTGAGGACACACACCTTTTTGTGCCTACTGTGTTGCTAAGAGGGAATCAGAATGTCTCACTGAACAAAGGGATTACAAGTTAGAATTGTGAAACTCCTTTTTAGATCTCAAGGCATTGATGGAATGTGTGTTTCCAGTATAGTTGTAGTAGCAGTAGTAAGCTTAAACAACGCATTACTGATGAGTAATGTTCAGACAAAGATGTTTGTCTCAGTGTGTGCCTTGGCACTTTGGGCAGCTTGAGGATTAACTTTGGTGTATTTGTAATTAGAAAACAAAAAAAGGAGCCAAAAACAGATTTGTGCCAGCAGTTATAAGATGACCCTTTTCACCAGTATTCTTTTATGTAGAAAAGGTAGCAACACAAACGTTTGTAAGTCAAACACAATTTGAGCAACAGTTTACTTGAGTACAGAGTAGCTATTATTTGTAATGACGAAAAGGAAATATTTCAAGTTAAAGCTGACTTAACTGTCCTGTATGTATGTATGTGTGTATATATATATATATATATATATATATATATATATATATATACAGGTCAGTGTTGGAGTTAAAACTTTGAAAAAAATGTGAATTTCAGACCTTAACATTTTGTCAAATGTTATTAAAAATGGAGGCCATATGTACATATATTTTTCACACCAAAACGACGTTCCATGCTTCCATGTGCAAGAATGGTTTTTTTTTTTGTGTTTTTGTTTTTTGTTCCTCCTGCGCCGGAGAATGTCTTTTTATATAATAATACACAGTATGTTTGTGCACAAGGCAAAGGAATCAAAGTATTTGTTTGTGTTTACTTTAGTTAGGATTCCTCACTGAAACTCTCCTCCACAACCTCCTCCCACTCCTCTGCTTGTAAGATACTGTAAAAATAACTCCAGCTTCCTCCCAATGCTACACTTTGCATGCTCAACAGAGAAAACACGGAAAAAAAAAAAAACTGAATCAACTACTGAGTAAAAAGCTGCATACCACTTCCCATCACACAGCATCTATCTTGTGTAGAGTTAAACCCAGCAGTGTCTTCATTCCATGCTGGGTGAGACGTTTTAATTTCTGTATGACTAGTTTTCTGCACTTCCTGCACTGACTTGGTATGATTGTGTTGCTGGAATATGATAGACTGTATTTTTTATCAGTGCAAGTGGCTGAAATAAAAAAGGAGAATAGTCTTCGCTGTGTTTAAAGCACTCGTACTGTGGGAAACAACTCGAGTTGAAGGATCACTGTCAGTCATAGCCTCTTTAACATTATGGCTGCACACATGAACAAAGATTAAAAAAAAAAAGAAAAATCACATTGCCAAATATTTTGATAGATTTTGAAGGTTTGACTTTAGATGTGATAAATAGGGGAGTGTGTAGGGACCGAATGGGCACATTGCTTTGTAGATATAAAATGTGCTGTGTCGTTCGACTCGTGCAGATATTGCAGATACCTACGCTAGCCTCACAGAGCAGCTATGATGACTCATCCTGAAGGCAGACAGCGTTCAGTCAGTCAGTCGCCTTAATGTCTCTTCTCTGCCCCTCTGTGCGTAGCGAGGGATGACTGAGCCTTGTCTGTGTTGGAGATCATTCCACTATTGGGCCAAGCCAAGCCTTCCTGTCACGTATCCCTCGTCTGTAAATGGCATGTGCTACCATGCCTGTCAGCGTGGTCGATACATGTATCACCACTGAAATCAGTGCTGTCAGACTCTTGCGCTTACATAGCAGTGCTTGTACCGGAGAGCTCCCTGTTTTTCTGTGAGAATGCGTGGGCCGTTTATTGATTGACTAGTGGAAAGATTTCAGGGTGCAGTGTTCAAGGTGTGTTTGTTAGTGTGATAAGTGTGTGCTCTCAAACAGGGGCGTGCAATTTCTACATGTCGCCAGCAATCAATTTGTGACTTCTCCCACTTTCAACTCTCTATTTCAGACTCTCAGATTTCAAGATATTTCAAGCTTTCGAAGTTCAGAACGCTGTTGTGCAGACTTTTAATATATACCTGTAAAATATTCAAAGTAATTATTTAAATAAAATCATTATTGTGAAACCATAACTTATATGCTAACAGGCGTCAGTGAGAGTGAGGAACAGACACTAAACAGTGCTGCTGGTTTTAAAAGATAATCAGATTTCTTCTTATGTTTTATTATTATTATTATTATTATTATTATTATTATTGCACATAAGTGGTGTGAAGTCGTAGTACTAGTGATACCTTCCAGATGAGATTTTCTTTGTCACTTTTTAAAGCGACCTCCTCATAGAAAGGTGTCATATTTATAGTAGCTTGCCGGTATTTGTGGTTACAGATACCAATAGGCCAACAGAACAAACCCAGCTGTTTTATTTTATTTTGAAAAGTGAGATGGAAACTAATGAAAGCTTTTGTGTACACTGGTACACTTCTCATATCATAACATTGGATTACTTGTCAATAACTTATAAATACTTGACAGAATTATTTATTGTGACATTTGCTAATTTGCCCATCTATCATTTTGACTTCAATTGTTGGGATTTTTTAATGGTTGATATTTTTGTGTTGTAATGTATGTCATGGTTTTGAAATGTAACTGTACAGTCTCAAGGAAAGAATGTAACAAGTGGGAGTTTTGCATTGTATATAACTGTAATTATTTATGTTTATTCTATCATTTGTATCATATCAATGCCTTGTACAGTGTTTTTTTCTTTTTTGTTTTAAAATTATTTTGTATTTTATTTTTATAAACTGGTTACAAATAAAATACTCATTCCGCATGCAGACAGAATCTTGTGAAAGGTTTCTGTTTTTATATCCTGAAATGTTGGGCACTGGATGAGGACACAACGCAACGCGGTGTTTCAACAAAAATAAATATCAGAATAAGATTGCCACCAAAATACCAAATAAACATGGAAAAACAGAACAGATAATAACTGCATAAATTAATACAATAAAATACTTTTTTCAATGATGTTTGCCAGTACAATTTGCATGTGTTTTCAGACACTCTGGACCTTGACTTGGTATGTAAGATAATTTACATTTAATAAAAATGATGAAGATTTGTTTGTTTTAATGTATGTGGAACTTGTCAATCAAATTAATCATATATTTTGGAGGATTAAAGTCATAGGCTCTAACCTAAAAATTCCCAAACTGCTGGCCTGTGAGACAATTTTACATGGCCCCCAAAACGTTTTGTTTTGTTTAAGTCTGACCTGCAAATTTAAAATCATCCCTACCTTGATATTTCCTAGATGTTTTATTCTAAGAGATCATTAAGCACACACAATGAAGCATAAAATTCACATTTAATATAAACTCTGATTTATTGCAACGACACCAAAAGTTGAACCGAGGCAGTCAGACAACTCATTATTTTTTTGTTGGAGTTTGGTGACTGTTACCTATCTAATCTGCAAATAACAAAGCGACCACACAAAAGCGACATAACAGGTAAGAGGGAAAGACACTGATAAATTACATTTATTGTTAAAAAACAAAAAACAACAACTCTGGACTATCTTTATGTATGTATTTAAGAGGTAGAGGCTGCACACAGGAGAAAACAACCTGGCCAGTGGCCCCCATGTGTTTTCAGTGAGAGGATTATGGACTGTCAGCTTCTGTCAGCTGCGACACGTGGTTGGCGTACGTCATACGCATTACGCGTCTGCGTAGGCGCTGGCCCCGCCCCCCTCCCCTCAGTGCTTTCGCCGCGCAGCGTCTGGGCAGAAATGGCGGCTCTTTTGGAATCACTCCTGTTGAAGAAAGCGGACGTTAACGCGGTGTTGGACTGGCTGAAAAACGTCGAGGTTGGTCCGAAATGATCCAGAGCCACACGAGGGAGACATGTTACACGCGTTCGCCCTCGCGTAGCGCGTTTTTGTGAGATGACAAAGGTCGCAACTGATTGTAAACAAAACTTTTAGCTAGAGAGCTAGCGGGCTAGGTTAGCTACAGCCTGGATGGGATGGACTCCAGACGAGTCGCTACGTAGTCAACTTCCCTACCAGTCAAGAAACTATTTAGCGGTAAAACACAAGTTACAGAAGCTGTTTACTGCTGGTATTATTATTAATATGTGAGGATGGCTGTGCGGTATAGCAGATGTTGGTCAGTGCATTGTTAGCTAGGTTACCACGCTATTTTCTGCAGAAATGTTTACTGACCAAGTTACTTTGTTTTGGGTTCATCGTGGATTAAATAGCGTGGATCCTTTGTGCTATTTCAGGTTTATAAACTGTATTTATCCCAGTTCGTTTACAACATATATGCCTCTTTTCAACAGGAGGCTGACAGCCTGGCATTCAGTGAACCTGGGCTGACAGTTCACAAACAAGAATTTGTCCCATTTCTTTTAAACTTCCTGAGAGAGCAGAGCAGTCAAGCACTAACCCATGGCCCTGCCACGCCAGCCAAGACCCCCAGCCGCCCCAGACCTGCTGCACAGACGCAGGGCTTCACTGACAGGAGGGGTTGCAGGTCTGCTGGTGGCGGCACTGGATCTCGGAGTGCCAGCAGGGTCCAGCTGTTTTCTCCTGCTTCCTCTGGGTCACCTGGAACGGATGCTTCTGGTCAGTCAGGGTCTCACTGTCTAAGTGGGGTCAACGCCTTCAGCAGTTCCCCATTTAGTGCAGCATGGAGCCCCGCCTCAAGGCCTTCGGGCTCCGATCGCCGGTCTGGCCAGAGGATCAGTCTCGGGGACTACATTGTTTCTCCTCCTGACCTCCAGCCCAGCCCCAACTTCCAGTCACAGAAAGGCCGCAAGAGAAGTGGCGGCAGCGTGCCGATGGGGGGACAAGGAAGAGGAGGGCGTGGAGGACATCACAGTGATGAGCTTGGACGGTGGGAGAGTGGGGGGAGGAGGTCGGGTAGAGGAGGAGGAGGAGGCGGCGGAGGAGGGCACAGTAGGATAAATGAGGTTTCTCCTCCGTCTGTGGTGCAGCTCAACTTGAGCAACTTGGAGGACTTCCCTCCAGTTGGCTCATCGCCCATTTCACCTGCGTAAGTCCACACAACTCTCAGTTAAACAAAAGTCAACACTGTCTCCATCATTCATGTTCAGATTAGTCTAAAATGTTTCCATTATCCTTCAGGGCGTCCAAACCATCTAGAAGAATAAACCCAACACCAGTCAGTGCAGAGCGGCCACACTCCAAACCAAAGACCTGCTTCACCTCCACCCCATTCAGTAAACCTTCTACTCCCCCATTAGCTGTAGAGGCACTTGAGGGGTCGGTGACGGTGGGCAGTCCTCTGAGCCTGCAGGAAGAGAGGGAGCTGCTAAAGAGGGAAAAGTAAGTGCACATGCAGAATGATTCTACACAAAAGCTGACCTCATATTGTACCAGTTTGAGATGTTGAAGAACGTACTTTTTACGTTTATCTGGCCTTTGCTACATGCCCTCTATTGTTTCACCATTCTACATTGTCGATGGGTGGTGCCTTGCAGTATTCACAGAAATGTATTGCATTTTACAGATGTCTACACACATGTCACAACATCTAATTTCCTTATTTTCTGCGTTTTTTGGCTCCAGCACTTCTGCCTCACCTCAGTTGATCTCTGCTGTTTCATAATCGGATATTTTTTGTTCGTAGGACAAAGCGTGCCCAGCAGGTCGGCACTCCTCTGCCGTCCTCACTTGACCCTTGCACTCCCACCAAGTCAGGGCTCAGAACTGGGTCTAAAGTTACACCAGATCTGCAGACACCCTGTCCTGAACCATCCAAAGTCACCTTCTCTTTGGAACTGGATCTCCTGGCAGAGCTGTACTGTACCTGCATTTCTGGTAAGTGACCACAAGGTGCCATTAATGTGCTAAGTAAATAAATCGTGGAGGAAAAGATGTGAATTAAATGGATTTTTTATGTCACTTAAAGATATTTAAAAGAGTAAAAAAAAATATATATATATATATATAAATAATTAAGAAGTCAGACATAAAATAAATAATTTTGGAGTTGAAATTATTTACAAATCAATGCACTAAACACTATATAAATACCTGCCAATAAAATCATTGGAAGATGTCAATTTAAAGATCTCCAAAGATGAAGAAAATGAGTTTGTTTGTGTTTTCATGTCTTACAGAAAACCTAGTGCCAAACATTTTCCTGGAGCTTTTTTTTGTGATGCAGTTGCTAACGTCGCAGTCTCCTCACACTCATGATGATAATGAACAGGGAAGTTTGTGTGCAGCGAATTCAGGTGTGAAGATAGTTTTTTATATCTTTTAAGTCCTATAACATCAAAATATTGAATCGAAGTTAAGAATTTCTTTTTCCATTTTCAGATGTTTTGGAGAAATGTTTCCTTAGACAAGTACACAACTGTGTGTATTTTGCTGTGAAGGTTCTGGAAAATCAGTTTCAGTGAGTTGTTTTACATCTTGTGACACAATTTTCCAGAATTTTCTCCCGTTCGCTTACAGGAATATAACAGCTATTTCCCCGAATTAAGTGACACTGCTCCTCCGGTCTCTCTGAGTTGATTCCTAACCATGTATTCTTGGCAGGTTGGTAGCTCATTTGGACAAGTGTACCTTGCGTCTGCTGGCAGAGAACGAAAGGGTGACGTCTTTCTCTTCGGATCTCAGGGACCGTCTGACTCAGGCCCAGGACAGGAGCACAGCCAAGGTAACAGACTTTTACTTTATGTACAGCTATAAGTGCTTATTATTACCTGAGTGTTATTGAATATAATTAAACAGACATTAGACAATACCCGTTTTTTAAATATTTATATTTTTTAATAGATTAATCTTTAGATTTGCTATGAGTCAGTTAATTGACTTGTCAGTTGACATTAAATTAAACTATTTTGATGATGATTTTGATTGTTCTTTACTTCGGAGAGTACATCATTTTTTAAGAAATTAAAATAGTTCTGCATTTACGTGATTTGATTTGATATGTTTCCCCTAATATGTTTTTATTCTCCGTATCTTTTCCAGCTGTCTCCTTCAGTTTCCACTTTCATCCACTCAGTCCCTTTCCAGCCTGCTACTGACAACCGGTCCAACTTCAGTAGTGACAAGGCCTTCCACACATTTAAAAAACAGAGGTATATCACAGTTTTTGTGTTGTTTTGTAACACTGCCCTCTCACTTTGTGTCCAGTAAAAACAACTTGTATGAAGCAGATCAGGTTTGTTTATAATTACAAACGGCCGAGTACAGGCTGAGCACATGCTGACTCAGATGTTATCGTTAGTTACATTTTGGCATGTGATATTTTTGTCCTTTTCTCAGAGATATTTTTTATGAGGTGTTACGAGAATGGGAGGACTTTCACAAGGAACCTGGGTGGAACTTTGACCCTGCTCTTGGGAGTAGGATAAAGTAAGTCTAATTTTATTAAACTGCTTTTTTTAATCTAATGGACCAGGTATAATTCATTATTTTTTAATTTCTGATGTACTTTCGCTCTGTGCATGTCATTGTTCCATCTTCTTTTTCAGAGGAATGATGAGTCAGCTGACCTCTGCAGGAAACCATTCCCATTTTGCACGTCTGTTTCTGAAGCAGCTTGTTCAGGTAGAATGTGAGACACACACACACACACACACACACACACACACACACATATAAATCTTAACAAATACGGTACTTTTTATTTAAGCCATTTTTCCTACAGTGATAACATTTTGAGACAAAGGAGACCTTTAGAAACTTCCTGACTTTATCTTCCCCTCCACAAAACATTTTTCTTTTAAACAGATTGTGGCATATTGCACACAGTTTGCACAATAAATCCACCTTTTTTTTTTAAAGATGTGTAAAGGCCCCCGTGTGAACAGCTCTCCTGGGGATACTCCTGATGCTGACTTACTAGGCATGCTGGGAGCTGATAGTTTGGGGCGTCTGAAGCGTCTTGAGGAGCGCCTCATTCAGCCTCATGGAGTCGCTGGCCCCTGCCCTCCTCCATCCTTCCCTGGTCACCAAGAGTTCTTCAGAGACTTCCTGCAGGCAGCTAGCTGGTAAGACAATACGTCCAAGCAAAATACATCATATAATTAGAATTACATTATATATCATCAAAAATATAAAACATTTCATTTATTTTCGGAGCTACTTAATCTGACAAGCCAGTAAGGGTCCAACCTCAGGTTTAATGAAAGGCTTGGTTATGTTGTTAGATGCATTATACCCCAATATATAGCTATAGTAACTATATTATCAACTATATTATAAAGTATAATAGGTAAATGAAAGGCAGATCATTTGGCAGATGTCCTTTTTGGTCAAAATTAAACATTTTCCTTGACAACTAAAGCTAAAAGCCTTTAGTGTTAATGTCTGCTATCTTTATATGATCTAACATGTCTTACATATTGTGTACCAGCTGCCAGCTGAACCAGCACTTGCAGGACAGTCTCTGTCAGCAGCTCCTCCAGCTGGATGAGGTGTCCATCCTGAGCCCTCCTGCTTCCATTGGGGAAGGAGAAGAGGAGGGGGATGGGGACATGGAGCAGCAGGTATTCTGTGAGAGTCAGACAAAGTGAAATTATGTCAGTGTCACAGTTTTTTTTGCTTCAGGTGCCATGTCATTTTGGATCAAGCTAGTTTTACAACCACTTCTTTTGAAGCCTGTAGTAGACGATTGATTGCAGCATGGTACGGCAGATTCAGAAAAGATGAATCTGACCGACATGTTCTTAATATATAATTATATAATATAAATATATAAACCTTTGTCCCTCCATTCCATCTACCTCACCAGGATGAAAAGCAGCGGTTCACCTCAGTGCTGCTCCTAGCTCGTCTTCTGGCTAAGTTTCTGGGATTCATTTCCTTTCTGCCTTACCAAACATCTGAGAGACCATCCAGGGAGATACAGGAGACTGCTATAGCCCTGCGCAGCAAGGTGAAAAAGCATGTTTATAAACCAGTTCTTGTGGCCTGTTTTAAAATAGAGCTGGTAAAAGCTAACCAAAATGATTCATTTCCTTCACATGTGTTAGTTGTATCTCATTAAGGAAACTCTAAAATGTTCCTCTTTTAAGCCCAGACCAACAGTTGTAGAGATATAAATGCAAATTTGTTGCCAGGCATTCAATTTCATTTAAAAAATCTCTTGATCCCTCAGAGTGTTCCAGTGCTGGATGTGTGTGCTGTGCTGAGTAACAGTGTTAAAAGGAGGCGCACCATCCTGACTGTGCCCTGGCTTGTTGAGTTCCTCTCCATGCTGGACTGTGTTGGTCCTCTGCTGCTCTGCTACAGAACTGCATTGGGCACACTGCTTCTCCTGTACAGGTCTGTCTCCATTTCTGCACATTTCTAAACATCTGTTAAAGAAGTGATTTAGAAAGAAAAAAATAAACATACTTTTGGTGGTATAACAATTAATTCCCATTCAGAATAGCACTGACACGGCTTCATTTAATTTACTTTTGTATGCTTTGTAGGAGAATGTTGCTGGGCAGATGTGGAGAAATGTGTTACCTGAACAAGCTACTGATGGTGTCTGTGTTGGGTTGGCTTTTCCAGGTGAGACACAACTTGTGGATATTATTTATATTTTTCTATATAGTGGTATATAGTAAGTAGTGGAACAGAAAAACTACAGAGCTCACTTTGGTGTTTGTCTGAATGTGTACATAACAGTTATATGTAATATATATATACATGCTTGGTGTCTCTAACTTGTTTAGATCCCAGTGATACCCGAGGACATTTTCTTCACCAATGAGTTCACTGAGGTGGCCAAGCTGGAGGACAGCAGCACGACTGCTGCAGGGCTTGTAAGTGAAATGCTCATTCAAGTAGCTATTTATCATATCATATCATAATATAACCACTGCTGGTTTGTCATTTTTATTGAGGTTTTTCTTGTTATTTTGTAGGACTGCATTCCCCTGGTTGATCAGCAGCTTCTCTATACATGTTGTCCATTTCTTGGTGAGTGGAAAGTTAATTAATGGCTTTTTTTGTGTGTATATGGTGACAGTGTTCTCAGTGGAAGAATAAAAAGGCAGTTATTCAGAAGCTGAATAACTCACATTTGGTCTATATATGAATGCTCTGCACCACAAAGTAACCTACACTCGTTGTGGATCGATATGTGAATGTGGATATTCTGCCTTGTTTTCATCGGTCCAGGTGAGTTCCGTAAGCTCCTGGCTGCCTTTGTGTCTGGAAGCACAGCCAAGAGCGGAGGAATCATCCGCAAGATCACACCCACTTCTGCTGAGCTCAGAGATACACCAACTGCCAACAGGTCTCAGCAGAAACTGCAGGTGAGTCAACAGGAGAGTTAGTAGAGGGAAATGTGGAGTGACATCACTGAATTGGCTGTGTGCGAGTATTTAAACCAATCACTTAAATGTGGCAGGTGGACCTCGAGCAAGCCTTCTTTCACAACCAGCCCCCGTCGCTGCGTCGCACTGTGGAGTTTGTGGCCGAGAGAGTTGGATCCAATGCCGTCAAGCATATGAAGTTAGTATCACAGAGCCAGGGGGGTGGTTGAGTCCATTTAAGAATTGAAAAGGACTAAAAGTAGTCAATCAGCCTGCATCTTTGGTTGGTTGCCTGCCTAAGAGGTTAGTGACTGTTCAACAGTCCAAAATCAAAGCACTTAGGTGGTGGCTGGTGTGAATTCAGCACCCAATGTAGATGTATTTTACAGATCAAAACTCTATTTTTAACATAATACTGAACTGTACATAACACATTGGATGTTAATGTCTATTTGGGAATCCTCAACAGGGCCACATTAGTGAGTGAGTTGGTGGAGCGAGGTGAGAAGATGCTGTGCAATGGACTGGAGTCGCCAAACTCAAATCCCTCAAAACTGAATGACACCATCTGTGCTCAGCTGTGTGTCGCAGGATTGGAGGCCCTAGCAAAAGCCACCAGGTACAACAACTTCTTTTACAAGCAGCCAGCAAAATCCTCTTCCCCTAATCCATGCCTAGATTTAATAGGATTTTAGTACCTGGTTCTTTTTTTAACAGCCTATATGCATGCATGAGTAAATGGCCATTTGATTGTTGGAAAAAGGGGTTTCTTTTATTTTTAAATTAAATAAACTGTTAGCCTTGCCTTCTGGGTTTCTCGTCACACACCATTAGCATTTCACTTCTGTGTGGTAATCTCTTCTTTATGGTAATGTACTTTTTTATGTGAATTTTCAGGTTTTGCTGTGAGAAGAGTCCTGAAGCCATACGAATTCTGCTTCCCGATGAGACCTCCCCTGCTGTAAGTCCTGTAAAAAATCAGCATGCACAAATGATATAATGAGATGTCAAACAATAATTCCTAAAGCACTTCTAACAAAGTTTTACATAGATTTACGTGGTTTACAGAGAAAAACCATATCTATAAATGCAGAACAGAGAAAAAAAACACACTAGAAACTTGTAGGTGTGGGTGTTCCCATGTTTTTCTCACTCTCGCTCTGCAGGTCCTGAACACAGCTGAAAACATCACCAAACGTCTCGCAACAGAAAAAGCCTGCAGCTGGCTCTCGGCCAACATTACAGGTAGCTAGTTAATGCGGCATGGTTGGGTTTTTACATGTTTCTACTGTGTTAAATGCAATTTCTTTAGACTCTAAATTGATTATTTCCATTTTCCAATGCAACCAATCACACCCTTTTGAGTGTGATATTAAAAAAAAGAAATGTACAGCTAATGAGACATTGTCCTTGTTGGTTATTTGTATTCCATTTTTATCTGCAAGAATCTAGCTTATAATTTAAAACCAGACATTACTGTAATGAATTATTCATGTCAAGTAACGTTAATGCAGGGAGGCACCGATCTAACGAAGCAAATCAGTGGATTCCTATTTTATTCTTGCTGCAAGTTGATTGTCATGCCACAGTAAATTAACCTGCACCTGCACCAGATGGTTGGTTACACGGAACCATCTGGAAAGTCGTCATTGGAAACTGTTTGGAAAAGACTAGGCAAAACTCAAAAGATGATTGCATGAAGCATCTTTCTATCACTGTCTATCATGAGCAAACTTCAACCAGTCAGATCAATGACCCACATAACGTAGTCAAACTTACCGAGGCCACATCAACACTAACCTCTCTGGGAGCCGCTATTGTTGTTAAGCAAGTGTCTTCTCGCTGTGTCATACCTAGCATCCACTCCTGTAGCACCCAGTACTTCCTCAAAGGAGGCTGAGTAGTCCAGTAACACTGTACCGGCTAACAGACAGACTCTTACATAGTAAAACTTTGTAGAGATACATAATACTATAAGGACTGAACCTTAAAGCTCTCAGTGCTGCTGGGATCATGTTACAGAACATCATTGCCTTTTGTGGTTGAAAAGGAATAAAAGCTGTGATTTCGGTTCCCTGAGGACATCCATCTAAGACTTGCTGTTTTCTCACCATCAGCTCTGATAAGACGAGAGTGGAAAAGCAGGTATGATCGTGTGATGAAGGCTGTGGGAAGCCCAGTGGCGCCAGACTCTGGGGATGTGGGGGCCGTGGTTGAGCTGGTCACCCAGGAGCAGTCAACTACCCCCAAGAGGAAACAAGGAAGTGACAGAGTGACATCTTGCCCTCCACACTGCAAACACAGTGCTTCACTGCCCTCTGACATCCTCATTGAGATAAAGGTATGCCTGCATTAGAGTAAACAGTGCTAAAATACGTGTAGGGGCTTTGCTCAGAACTAGTTATTCTGCAAATGTAGCCTTTTTTCGGTTAGTTTTGGGGTTGAAATTCATGAATAACAACTTGCATCTTTAAAGAATAAATCTAACCTCTCGCTGAAGAAAAAGTGAATGATTTCTGTGTGAACTTTAACTTTTAATGTAGGAGTTGCTGAGCATTGCAGTGGGCCCCAGGACTGACGAGGAACTGCCTACCGCCTCTCAGATCAAAACGCTGTTACAGAGAGTAGGAGACACTCTGGCCTGCAGAAAGGTACAAGACACACACAAGTGCAACAAAAAACATGTGTGGATTCAAGGTTCTTTGCCAGTATTCATCACACTCTGTTCTTCTTATCTCGTTGCTTAGTTCTCAACTGTCTTGTCGGAGCAGATGCTACTGAACTCTACTGTCCTACTGGCCTGCAAACTGGGTAAGAGACTGTTCAACTGTAAACTGGTTAATTCCCACAAGTGCAAATGCTTCATAAACAGCATTATTTAAACTGCCCTTTGCAGCTGAAATAGAAATATAGTTGATGTACTGTGTAAAAGACCTGAGTGCATGTTGTGTGTATGTGCTCAGTGTCTGCAGAGCTGCCGGTGCTGTCTCTGTCAGGGTGCAGCGGAGGTGATAGGGTTGTTGTGGGTCCTGGTTCAGGGTCAGAGCCTCCTGTCAGAGCGCTGCTGGAGCAGCTTGCTGAGCTGTGGGAAGGAGACTGCTGTTCCTCCGCCCCTCTCCACCTGCTCTTCACCCCACTCACTGTCACTGCTGTGCTGAAGGCCAGCGACACTGAGGTACCACTGCTGCTATGACTGATAAAGAAGTATTAATGATGCTACTACAAGTACTACTACCTTTTTTGCCTATATGTTTATAGAATACTCTCCTAAAATGCCTCTACTGTGTGCATGGCCCTCTGTAGACACTACAAGCCTTGTAGATCAAGGATTTAAAGAAACTGGTGTGAAAATGTTGGTGCAAAGTCCTTGAAGTGATTCCATCTTCAATGTACAAAGCACAATATATGAAACTTGAATGCTTTCACACAGATAAATGGAGTAATCTGTATATTTCCCCCTCTGTTTTACATTGGTTTAGGATGAAAAGTGTTTTGATCAGATGGTGCTCACTCTGATTTACTTGGTCACTTTTGTATCAAAGTTTTTTTTTGTTTTTCTTCAGATTTTTAGTTTTTCTACAACATATTTTACATTGTGCAAATTCTGCATCATGCATTGTTTTCCTCAATTGGATAGCTGATAGTATAGAGACAGACAACATTTTCTATTATTGCTTATTTCTTTGAAAGTTGTTTGACTCTGTAGTCTTTAATCTTTTGTAATTCATTTGCTTGTCTTTTTAGTGGAATAACTATCTATTCCTGGTGAGACAGCTGGTTGACAGAGGAGTCTTGAGTGAAGAAGAGGTCATATCCCATTGGAAGAAGCTAACAAACTTGGCGTTGCCAGCGGTGAGGGTTCTTGTCATCATGTATTCCTTTGGAATTATTTCTTTTACTCGTGATTTGACCTCTTTTCACTCTCTTCCTCTCTCTTGCTCACTTTGTTCTCTCATTTCTGTGTCATTTCAGAAGCTGATAGAAAATTTTCAGCTGCAGTCACAGAGTATTAAACCTCCCTTGCCTCTGGCTGAGTTGCAAAGCCGCATGGACATGCTGCAGGTCTCTCAACAGACAGTAGAGGGAGCTACATGACAACAATAATGCTACCCAGTATCCCACTGCACCTTTGTGTGATCACCACAGTGTTTTATGTCACATCTGTCAGTGTGTTGTTCAAGAAAGAGACAGTTCTGGGTGACTTCTTGTTGTTGACTATTTTTCGAGTTGCCACAGCCCATCAAAGCTGTTCCTAGCAAGCTTCAGACTTTTGTTCTCCACCTGTGAAGTGACAGCAGCCTTTCACGAATCCCTCTGCTCTTTTGCTAAGGCGCCGGTGAGACACAGAAAGCCCTGCCACTCAGAAGTAGCCAGGGACCACACCGTCTCTCACACCTTAGATCTGTTGATCCTTCCTGCAAGCGAACCTGGTGATTGTGTCCGACGGGATATACTTGTAGATCAAGCTTTTCAAAGAGTCAAGGCTATAGCAGAGAAATAACAAAGACACAGGAGAAGGGTCGCCATCAAAATGGGAATTTGTGAGTTTTTGGAGCCGAGGACTCAAACTGAGTATCTTCAGTAACTCAGCTCATTAAAAGGTCCTGGTTTTTAAATGTAAGATTCTATTAAACAAGCCATAGTTTGTCAAGAAACACTTGATCAGACAGCTACTAAAAATGAGCTGAAATATGTGTTGTTTTTTTAGTCCTACCACAGAAAATAAATGTCTTAAATTTTAGTATAGCACTTTCACACACTGCCTTTGACCGCCACTACTAGTGATTGCATGTTTATCTCATGAATGCAAGACTGCGTTTGTGATTGTTTTTGTTCATGTTGAACGAGCGCTGTACTCCCTGCTGCTTTTAAATTGAAATATTTTTTATGTTGCCACAAAATTTCAAATATAACAATAAAGATGTATTCTGATGTAATTGTTGATTCGTGTCTTGGTCATCATTGTTTTTCACAGATTTTTGTTTTCATGATTGCTAGAAAAATCACATTTGCTTGTTAATTTATCACTAAAACAAACACATATCAGGTCAGTCAATAAAATAAAGTATAATCTCAACTGTAGATGCCTGTGAAGGATTGGTTTCACCACAGTCACTCCAAGTTAGCTTGTAAATAGTACAACGGTTAGAGCACTGGTTCCCAACATGGGGGTCAGGACCCATACTAGGGGTTCACAAGGCTTTCTTGATTTTAAGTATTAAAAATATGCACAGTAGGCCTATATATCAGCATTTGGTTCACTTCTGTGAAGAAATGTAAATGTAATGTGTCTAATAGAACAATGGTTAAACACTAGGGACAAGAAAATACTGAATTTGTCAAAATAAAGCATATTAAATATGTATGATTGTTTAAAAAAATATTTAAAAAATAGATAAAACAGACAGAAGATTGCATAAAAAGTTCCTTAAACAAGAAATAAAGTCCTCAAAATCCCCAGTGAGTTCACTGTTTGGGTTAATTGTACAGTTTTGAATAGAATGTGATTTTAATTATATTTAATATCAATAAAATATGTCACATTAGGGGTCATCAGTTTACTAAATGATACAAAAAGTTGGGAACCACTGGGCTGGAGTGATATAGCAGTGAATAGGATGATAATGACTTAATCATATAGCTGTGATTCTTAATTAATTACAGTTAATTACAGTCTCTATCATATTTAATGTATATATATATGTGTATATACAAAATAAAAATTAAATATGTATATATAATGTCGTGTATCTTTATTTATATTATCAGTTTTCCCACTTGTTACTAAATGACTTACTACCAAGTTACTGTGGCTGTGAGGGGAAGGTTTATGAATGTTTTATGTTTATTCAAAAGTATAAATAACACTCTAAACACTGGGAGGGATTTAAATAATAACAGACAAAAAAAAGATTTGAATATGGTGTAGTAGGAGGAGTATCCAGCAGCATCCCCTCCCCTCTCTCCCCCTCTCCTCCCCTCTCCTCCCCCTCTCGGTCCAGCAGGAAGTTTCAGTTCTTCTGTTGGGAGTTTCAGCGGTTGGACCTTCGGACCGAAGCCGGTTGCTGATGACTTGAACACGGCGGATGGCAAGGACGGTTCCCTCCCGCTCTCGCTTTTTTAAGTTTCACCGGAGTACAAAAACATGCCAGAGGACTCAGTATGCTCAGAGTGGGGAAACGCTGGTCGACTGTAAGTCATCATGGCAAACGTTAAAGTTGCGGTTCGAGTCCGTCCTCCCAACGCAAGGTAAGGTCTAATGTTAGCTAGCGGTTTAAATGCCTCCGATTTAAAAAAAAAAAAACAACTTAACGTAGTTATTAATTAAATTAAATTATTAAGAGTTGCCTCCGTGTGTCACTTCAGCTTATGGGTAGTTTGACTGCTGCTTGATGTTAAGCCACCCCCCCCCCAAAAAACAATATGTTTCTCATGTTGTTGTTTTTTTCTGTGTTAGCACTGTTTCCCATTTAGCTTAATGTTAAAAGTTATTAACAGAAAACAACATTAAGGTAGCAGGTTAGCTCGCTAATAGGAGTGTGCAGTGGTAGGTGGTGCACATGGTGAATGATGACAACTGTGGCTGTCAGTACTGTTGTCTGACTAAGCATCTTGTGTGTGTGTGTGTGTGTGTGTGTGTGTGTGTGTAGTGCTGAGTAATGTACAAAGCTAGGTTTAAAGTGCAGCCAATTAGCATTAGGTTAATGGTGTATAATTAGGAATTCACTTTTTTCACCCCTCTTTATTGAACAAATGTAGATTAGAAACTCAATAAGGGAACAATAGCTTGCATACCCAACAGTAAAATGTAAATATATACAGATATATAGAAACAGTTAAACATTTGGAGGTTGACAACATGAAGAAATACAAGCTTCAGTAATTGAAGGAACAACAACTATTATTTATTAAAGTAAATTGGAGAGGGTTTACTATTCTTGCATCTACATTATTGTATATGATTAGATTAGAAATGAATTATGATGTATTTCAAACACCTTTGGTTGTCTGTTTACATCTATGCCCATGGGATGAATGAGTATATGTCTTTTAATCAGTCCAGTGATTCTGTACAGGAGTTTACCAAGTTTTATCTCAAGATTTCTCAAAGTGTTGGGTGATGTTAACCAATATCAAAAGATAACTGGAGCCCTACAAATACAGCTTTCTCATTGTCTTACACTATCATACAGTATATTCTGCATCAGCTTGTTCCAGCTCTTAATTGAAGCCATGTGATGTTTACACTCATGTTCATCCGTCGACTGTATAATGTACATTATGTGTTCAACCCAAGAGTCAGTGTTTTTATGGCTGCACTGTTTCATCAAATGGAAATACTATAGATGTCTTCCCCACAATTCAGCTTGGCATCGGTGTCTTTGGAAACTTTGGGATCTCCCCTAAGATGTCAAATAAACTTCTGAAAGTTTTAACACTGTTTTCCTGTACAGATTGAGTTTGTGATGAATAGTCCACTGGTGTAACGGGGGTTTAAGGGGTTCATTTCGTAACATGAAACAAAGGAAACAAGATTAAGGAAACCAGTGTTCTTTAGGCCTTTTTTTCTGTTGGCCAACCTATTTAAGTTTAAATTAAAAAAAGTTACTTTACTGTAAGTTTAATATACAAAACAGACCTAATACTCATTTGCTCATTAACCCCCCCCTATTTAACAGTACTGTAAAATCTGCTGTTGCAGTAGTAAAGCAACACAGGAGGGTTGTAAAGTTGCTTTGCTCCACTGGAGCACCCCTTTACATTAACTGGCAGATTGCTACAACATGTTGAATCACAGGTCTTCAGGGTCTGGAGATATAGTACATGTAAGTCCTATAGTAGTGCATTGAATTAAATTAAACTCCTGCAGGATGTTTTGTAGAGGTGCTTAATCTGAAGGCCACTATAGTACCATAACAAAGCATTATTCAGACTATGAAGGGCTGGACAATGATTCTTTCAACCAGTCTTCCTGGTGTTTTGCATAACAAAAGAATTTCTTATACATAATGTTCACTGTCATGCAAATCTGTGCTTCCTGATTTCAGTTTAGGACAGTCTCACTGTCCCCTGCTCTTTTCTACTTTTGTGAAACGAAGGATGTATTTTCTTACTTATATATTTGAAGAAGGGCCTGCTGTGTGGCAGAGATAACATTAACACCAGCCCGGTTAGCTGTGTTTCTCATTCGGCCAGGTAGAGCAGCGTGTTGCTCTTTGTTTTAATTGACCAACAGGATTCAGTTGGCACTCCCCCCTTAGAAAACAAGCAGCCTCTCACATGTGCAAAAAACATGCCAGCCCAATTGTGAAATTGCTCGTTTTAGGTTTGTATCAAAACACCGTTTTATGAGGTTTACTATTTTCCAGCCCCCCCCCCCAACCTCCTCTCCATGCATGCTAGTTAGAGCCTGAGATTGAAGGTTGGTGGTTTTGGGTTGGGCCACTGCTGGGGTTGGCAAAATGAGTCCCGCGTGGTGAAGCACAGGGAGGGATGAGGATTACAACAGCCCCCTCGTCAGCCCCTAACCCACCGCAGAGACGGAGCGTTCAGCACTACAGACAGCATTCGTCGTCATTATCGCTCCTGGAGATCGAAATTCTCTCAGCTCCATGTTGTGATTGCCTCCAGTTTCGCGTGTGTTGCATCAGATGTGCTCGGTCCAGCTGCTGAAGCACACATAGCCGAGTTGACCTTGTTTTACACACATGCGGGGACACACACTGGTCCAGATTATACACACACACACACACACACACACACACACACACACACACACACACACACAGTCGTTCATGCTTTCGACTTTGCGGAAACAGCCCAAGTAACCTCATCAGAGAAAGTCTCTGGAGTGTGTGAGGGTCTGTTTTCATTTGAATCTGAAACTGGTGGCGATTTCGTGCATCACACATGCACGCACGCACACACAAACAGAGTCATTGTGTTAACTGTCATGTGATGGCCTCCAGTCAAGTGGGACTAGTCTAAATTTATCTGGACACCCTCTGAATTATATCTGCATCAGAAAGAAAAGAGGATTTTAAACCTATTTGAATCTGTCCGTAGGGTGTTGAATCCAAAGTGAAACCTTTGTTAAATCCCTGTCCGGTTCGCAATTGTAGTGTGAGACACTGACCAATACTGATAGCATCCCTTTAGATTTGCACTCCTCTATTGGAAGCATGTGTTGTTTTCTCCAATCTGATCTCTCTCACCTCTCATAAACATACAACATCCAAATATGGATGTTTACGTACAGAGAGTTCAGCAGTCGTTCTCTTTTTGCTCGCAGGGAGAGTGCGGATGGAGGAAGGCTAGCCGTACAGGTGGAGGACAAGTTTGTGAAGATCCGAAATGTGAAGGTGAGTATTTTGGTGTGAAAGTCCCACAGACCGATGCACAGGTATATTCGATAGTCATGATTGTGTGTGTTTTGTTGGTAGGACTGGGTGAATTGGGAGTAGTGCGTAGATTGTATCAATCAGAGCAACAGGATGTTTACAGACTTGGATCAGCCTTTCCCTGCTTGATGTCACTGTTGTTTATTATATGTGTCGAGCTGACACACACACACACGCACACACACCGATTTGGAGGCCCTTCCTGTCAAACACATGCACTGACACTCTGCACACCAACACAACCAGCAACACAACTACAGCATACTTCAGATGCTTGAAAGAGATCCACACATAAACAGTAGTAAATGAAATGCAATCCAAAATTGTGTTACTTTAGGTTTTTTAACAGAGAATGTGGCCCCAGAGCTTTTTAGTCCTATTTGCAACATAAGAAGAGTGTGCAAAGTTGTTTTATACTGAAAAAGGTTTTTGTTTTAGTTATTAGTTTAGGTTTTTAAAGAGGTTCTGCACATTTGGAAATAATTACTATGTGAGTTACACAGTCTTGTAAGCTGATACTTTCACAAAGGTTACCA